TTATAATTTTACTAAAAATTCACAAAAAGATAATAGTTTTCTTATCTATTGTCACGTGACCCAAAACGCTTGGGATTGTAAAATGACGTCACACGCAAGTAAAATTCCGGTTAAAATGACATTACATTGTATCGTTTCACGTTTTTATAACAGTCGTGTGACGTCACACACTAGTAAGACGCCATATTGTCCAGAGAAACGTTTTCGCGGCAACTTGAAAATGGAGTTTTTGATTTGGTTATTTTTACTGAAATACACAACAGAAGGATGAATATCAACTTTTTACGGACTCCATAAACAATAGCCAATAACGTGAGATCGTTTTCTAAAACTTGTCAAATACCCTATTCCGCTTGTTTTAAACTCCATTAAATAATTCTGTATCCTATTAAATGCCTAATAATGGTATATTTTTGTATCGACTGAACAGCTTCCAATCTACCGTGCGCACGATCCACCCAATCGCAAAGACCCTGGAGCCGGTGCTAAGAGAACCGGTGCCCATTAACGAATCGGCTGAGGAAGCGGAAGCGGAAGCGGAAGCGGAAGCGCGAGCTTCTTCATCGTCTGACAGCGAAGCTCTCTCGCCTCCCGCGTCGCCACACTTCGCTATACCGGATCTTCCATCGAGGTAACTAGTTTGTGACTAACTTTACCGTGTATAAGTAAGGAATGTCATTTATGCGTTAAGAATTGTGCGTTGTAGTATAAAAAATATACATATTTGGACACTTAGAAAAAACAATTTGATCAGGATTAGTATTAGTAAGGATTTGGGTAGCTCGACATTTGCCTTTTGCGGCGCAGTTACATTTGGTCGTTATCCCGGATTCGGGTGCACAAAAGACATTACTTGAATCGGGCTCCCTTATATTTACAGTGGACGACGGGCTAACGAGCAAGTGTAATAGGGTATTTGACAAGTTTTAGAAAACGATCTCACGTTATTGACTAATGTTTATGGAGTTCGTAAAAAGTCGATAATCATCATTCTGTTGCGTATTTCAGTAAAAATAACCAAATCAAAAACTCCATTTTCAAGTTTATTTTATTTATTTAATTCTAGACCAAAATCCACAGCATTTTCTTAATATAATACAGGTTTTACAATACAGTTTATCTTAATGCCAATTACGGATTTTCATTTTTTAGTTATAGCATAATAGTTTAGAAAACCCTCTACCAAACAAGGGCGAGATGTGTGCAATGCGCGCGCGCTATTGTATATGTGTGTGTGTGTGTGTGTCTGTGTGTGTGTGTGTTTGTGAGTATATATGTATACATGTGTGTTTCATTTTTGTTTGTATATTACCAATCAACCAACAGATCTAAAAGTTGTTTTTTAAAAGATGCTTTACTTCTGCAAGCAAATATGTCAACAGCCGTGAAACCTTTATTGTATGTACTTTGCGTTCGAAAAACAACTGAGTTTTGTGCATAGTTTGTGCGACATGTAGGAATTGCGAAAAAGAAAGATGATGTATGTCTGGTACAGGTAGTGGGTGTGTAGAGTGTTAAAAATGAAGAGGCAAGCTCAGTGCAGTCTATATTCCCATTGCAAACGTCGTAGAGAAATGCCATATCGAGCATAGTGCGCCTGTCCTCAAGAGGGACCAAACGATGGAAACGACATCCTTCCCTATAGTCCGGACAGTCATTTCTTTTTCTGTAATTAAGATGCTTAACAAATTTTGACTGTATCGATTCTAAGTCATGTTTATAAGTAATGTATTGTGGATTCCAAATATTGCAGCAATATTCAAGAATACCACGACAGTATGCAAAGTACAAAATCTTTAACCCTACATAGCTAACGTTCCTGAAGATCTATGTTAAGCTAACCATTCGACTTTTTGACGATCATTTTTTTAAAGTCTGTTTTATTAAAGTTTTATTTTATTTTAATTAGGTTTATTTTATTTATAGGAAATATGGGATATGAATTAAAAGATAATTATTATAAAAATGAATATTTATTTAACTTTTAATACTAAATCACAAATATAAAATGGCACGTACGTTTCTTTGAGATCAATAAGCTCTAAATCTTACAATGACTAATTAGGAACTATTTTTAAGATAATGATTATATTTTTTTTGGTACTATAAAGAAAAAAACCTTAAAATTAACCGTAATATCAAATGACTTGAATTTTTTTAGCACAAGTTGGGCAAAAGTCAACTGTATGTTCGCCACAAATGGGAACTTTGCAACTATTGCAGTGATTTTTTGTCATACGCCTTTTCTTGTATGAACACAAACTACAGCTTTTCCTTTTTCTTGTCGAGGCATTTTCAAATCAGATGACTTCCAGAGTCAGATTGCACAGGAATTTGACCATGACCTTCATCGCGTCATATACGTCACATATTTCGTCAGTCATAAAGGAGCCAAATAAAATGAGAGGATCTGTTATGTTTCTGACTGAACGGGCTGGCCCTCTAGCCATACGAACGATATTTATCGCAGAAGTTCGGGAAGAAACATGTGCTTTATGAGTTGCCCACACGTATCGATTTTTGCCTCGAATATTAGGTTGAGTCAAGTGGACAATGTAGTTGGAAATAGATGAAGAATTCTCACTGGGAGGAAGAGCAGCGGGAGGTGACCTTCCTTGTTCCTCTTCAATATCTAAAGGTGGACTTACTTGTATCTCTTCAGTGTCCGAGAGTTCGTCGTGAACGTCACTTTCCACGTCATCTATCAACAAACCGCCCTCATTCCCACTATCAGAAGATACATCATTTGTGTTGATATAATCTTCATCACCTAACGCACGAACTATTTCGTCATCAGTGATGAACTTTGCAGCCATTCTTCACTATCAACGTTATAACTAAAAAAAAAACAAAGTAAAAATCAAAACAAAGTACAGGTATAAAAGTTACGCATAAGCTAACCATTCGTCAAAATGACGAGCATGCAGTAGGTATCTCAAAAACAAAAGTACTTACCGGCTAAACGCGACCACCACGTGACGTGTTCTAGCAGCCACTAAATTGGCGCGAAACCGCGAGTGTGTAGGTAAAACCGTTAGAAAGGGAGAGAAGGATATTTATTAGATGTTCGTAATTTTGACGAACGTTAGCTATCTAGGGTTAAACAAAGAGTATCAGTAAAAGGCTTGCCAATCCTCAAAATAAACCCTAAATTCTTATAAGCTTTGTTGACTATTGTTGCTACGTGGGTAGAAAAAGTTAATTTATCATCAAAGAGCATACAACGCGAAAGTTACCGCGAAAACGTTTCTCTGGACAATATGGCGTCTTACTAGTATGTGCGTCACACGACTGTTATTAAAATGTCAAACGATACAATGTAATGTCACTTTAACCGGAAGTTTACTTGCGTGTGACGTCATTTAAGGCTCCGCCAATCCCAAGCGTTTTGGGTCACGTGGCAATAGATAAGAAAATTATTATCTTTTTCGTGGGTTTTTAGTAAAATTATGAATATTATTTTTGTAAAAATAGTAACAACCCCTGCCAATATTCATTCTTAACACAGATGCTAACAATTGACAGTTTATTTTTAATACTGTCAAATACCCTATCGCGTCATAAGATTGAACGATACTCGTGTCGGTTGTAACATAATTTTTTAAGTGGATATGTTACTCACCGACTATCAAAATCAGAGAACAAAAGACTTAATTATTTCAGGGTGTAGTTTATGCTGTGAAATGATTGAAACAACTTTCTGTTACCATATACTGGGTTTAATCGTAGAGTGGTGGCGTTAACATTTAATTTCCAACGCTATTAAACTAAATACATACTCTTCTTTACCTTATTGTACGACGTTGACCAACTAAGTTTACATTCCTTGATGAAATCTGTTGAAATGGGTAGCTGAGAAGACAGTTATGATGGTGACAGCTTCTTATTATCTTGTTATTTGAAGATCCGAAGTCCACACTGTTCACCAAGCCTTGTTATATTTCACCACCACAACGTGGTCTCATGACGTCGCCATTTTGTTGTAAGAAATGAAGCCAACTAATTCTTGATTAATTCATGTGGAATGATTCATCACATTTAAGTACGAAGACTAACAATTAACCACTACGCCTACGAACCCCTAAAACAATAAAGAAATGCAGTAGATATGCACTTTTCTCTAAAGATCCGTAACTATCCAAAAATTAAAGTTGTACTTACAGTTATGGGATTTTCTAATAACTTATCCTTAATCTACCACCACATCGTCTTCCTTTGGTGTACTCTTAGGCACCTATCTATTTATTCCTTTCTTTAATTCTTTTAAGCGAGCTCAAAATACGTCGTTCCCTTCGTAGCCTAATGCAGAAAGAGATCCCCACCTTTTTTCACATAATCTCTCATCAACCAAGACGCCCCCTGACGGCGATTTGTGTCACCGTCTTTACGTTTGAAACTAATAAGAAAAAGCACGCTATATTGAGCCGTCACTTTTTCTTTGTGTACTAATTCTTATTAGTTTCAATAGATGGCGCTTAACACAAATAATCATGTTACACGGTGTGTTTGTGTCCAGGTTGTACGGTCCGCGTCCTCACTGGCAGCTGCAGCGGCGCCATACCGTGGCCGGCGCCAGCCCCGCCTCGCAGCCCACCGACATAGCCATCCACCAGGTATGAGTGTCGGTGTGTTTGTGTCCAGGTTGTACGGTCCGCGTCCTCACTGGCAGCTGCAGCGGCGCCATACCGTGGCCGGCGCCAGCCCCGCCTCGCAGCCCACCGACATAGCCATCCACCAGGTATGAGTGTCGGTGTGTTTGTGTCCAGGTTGTACGGTCCGCGTCCTCACTGGCAGGCGCCATACCGTGGCCGGCGCCAGCCCCGCCTCGCAGCCCACCGACATAGCCATCCACCAGGTATGAGTGTCGGTGTGTTTGTGTCCAGGTTGTACGGTCCGCGTCCTCACTGGCAGGCGCCATACCGTGGCCGGCGCCAGCCCCGCCTCGCAGCCCACCGACATAGCCATCCACCAGGTATGAGTGTCGGTGTGTTTGTGTCCAGGTTGTACGGTCCGCGTCCTCACTGGCAGCTGCAGCGGCGCCATACCGTGGCCGGCGCCAGCCCCGCCTCGCAGCCCACCGACATAGCCATCCACCAGGTATGAGTGTCGGTGTGTTTGTGTCCAGGTTGTACGGTCCGCGTCCTCACTGGCAGGCGCCATACCGTGGCCGGCGCCAGCCCCGCCTCGCAGCCCACCGACATAGCCATCCACCAGGTATGAGTGTCGGTGTGTTTGTGTCCAGGTTGTACGGTCCGCGTCCTCACTGGCAGGCGCCATACCGTGGCCGGCGCCAGCCCCGCCTCGCAGCCCACCGACATAGCCATCCACCAGGTATGAGTGTCGGTGTGTTTGTGTCCAGGTTGTACGGTCCGCGTCCTCACTGGCAGGCGCCATACCGTGGCCGGCGCCAGCCCCGCCTCGCAGCCCACCGACATAGCCATCCACCAGGTATGAGTGTCGGTGTGTTTGTGCACCAGGTATGCACCTATACAATCAAACTTTCCAATTTCAATTTTTTTCACACAAGACACAGTCATAATTTTTATCTTTTAAGTATGTAACCGCTGATGTTTAAACCTAAAGAAAATATAACTAGAAAAAAAATACACACGGACCAGGCAGCAGACGGGATTTGAACCCGCACCCTTCGCTATCCGGGCGAATGCACTGACCAATTATACTACCGCGGCAATGACGGCCGCGTCGAAATTCTTCTAGCCATTCTAAAGCTGCAAGGCAACGCCATCTCTTCGCATTGTAGGTATAACCCACAATGTAAATTTTTTTTTTAGATATATTTTCTTTACACACTTACATTTAAAAATATCTGCCGCAGTCAAGCTAAAACGCGGTAAATTGACAGTACCAACTTTTGAGATATGACCAAAAACGGCGCGTAAACTTTAAATTATTGATTATATATAAACTATGAATTATACTAATTTGTAATCATTCTTCACATAACAGATTTTTAGACTAAACTATAAAAAACGAATACTTGTTAAAGACAGATTTATAGAGAATAAAAAACTGATACAGATACAATTTAAGACTGAATATCGATCACATGTCACTTAAACGGGATTTTTTACACTACCCAATTTTAAGGGCCCAATCGGAAGGGTGGGCGGGGCCCCTACCTAGGGTAAGCTATTATTACACCGCGCCGATCGGCCTAGATCGCGTCCTATAGGGTGAAGCCAAACGAGCGTAATTTTGTGAGTTGTAAGTCGCTTATTTTCGGTCACTTATTTTACGTTCAACTGAATTTCTGTTGAGCTGCCATACGAACGTAATTTATTCAGTTACTATTGAGCGTTAGTACGGGGTGTTCGTGTCGTCGAGTGCAATGGATCCATTAAAAATATTGTGTATTTACGAAGCATATTCAGAAGATGAGGCCAGAAAAAGAAACTGGGTAAACCCACTGAATAGTCAGAGGCTGATATGTGGACAGTTCCATACTTTATATGAACGTTTATGTGTAAATCCAGATATGTTTGAAAAGTACAATCATATGCCATTACGTGTTTTTCAAGAATTATTACACCACGCAACTTGTAACAAACTGTTGCTTCTACACTCCCATTCCTTGCCCTACCCTCGCCCCGACCGAAATTCGGACGAGCTTATGCGCATTGAGTCGGCAGACAACTCATTTTGCGTTGTCGTGTGGCACCAACTGCCTTTTCGTATGAAACCGAATGCAACAGAATTTCTGCGACCGAAATTCTGCGCCTCACCCTTACTCCCTAACACACATTACACCACTCTTAGTCAGGGAAAGAGTCCCTTAAAATTGCAGATATAGTGTTGTATTAACGTGTGAGTTTTTCGTTTGTTTCCAGTTCTGGCGACAGTTGCGCGAGCACAAGTGGGGCCGCGGGGACTCCCCGCTTCCCAGCGACGCCCTCTACCGGCGAGATAAGGTGTGTAACTAATAAATATTTCCATATAGGGGAAACCACCCAATCATTGGCACTCGTCCTATTATGTGCACTTTTGAGTTTAATTCGGAATAACAAGGAGACAATAGATTATTCAAGGTCGTTACATATTAAAAAGAAAAACCTAGTATGGTTTGGAAATTTGAAAATTGGCAGCATTATTCCTACAATCTATTGTTTCCTGTTTTTTTCGAACTAAACTCAAAAGTGCCAATAATAGGAAGAGTGCCAATGATGGGGTAGTTTTCCCTACCTATAATCAATCAAAATCTTATGTCATCATCATCAGCCTATTAATGTCCCCACTGCTGGGGTACAGGCCTTAACGTGGCTACCGAAGTACGGAGGAGTTCGAGATAGTAAATTTTTGGCAATGACCTAATGATCGACCACTGCGAAAGTTGCTTAACTTCAATGATCGCAGCCGATCGCGCTAACCACTTGCGCCATCGGGCTCCTCAAGTCTTATGTCATCATCATCATCAGTCTCTTAATGTCCCCATTGCTAGGGCACAGGCCTTCCCTATTGATGGATTAGGGAGATTGGGCCATGACCCACCACGCGGGCCCAGTGCGGGTTGTTGGGTGCTAGCGACTGCAGATGCAGCCGATACCAACGGCTTAACGTGCCTTCCGAAGCACGGAGGAGCTCAAGATAGTAAATTTTTGGTCACCCATCCAATGACCGACCACTGCGAAAGTGGCTTAACTTCAACGATCGCAGCCGAACGCGCTAATCACTTGCGCCATCGAGCTCCTCGTCCGGGTCTTACGTAATATGTTCTTTTTAATATAACTCCAGAACAATTGGATTGTTTTTGGAATTCCGCGATCGGGATAATACTGCGATTTTCTCACGCTAGCGCAGGACTAACGTAAATAATAAACAAACATTGACAAGTGGTTCAAGCCGCGAAGAAAATTTATTATATGCACTAATTGCACCTTCAGTTGCCTTTAAAATTAAGATAAGTTTAAATTTACACAATGATACATCGTACTTCATATTTGGATGTACGAATGAAGGAGACCATTCACCTCCCTCAAGGGTCTTCGAAATCTATGTGAATAAGCTTGCATTTTATTATTCGTTCGGGATATACCGAAACTAAGATACTGATAAAATGATAAAATTTGATAACTTCATAATAAAAAATTTTGGTAACTAAACAATAACTTAAAACAATACTAATTGATATAAAAATGTTTGTTATGAAAGAGTACGCGCACGGCTTACTTGATAGCTAATTGCGAACTAACTTGTAAGTAATTGACGATTATTGATAATAATAAAATAAAGTCAATTAGTAAAATGATGAGCGGGCGAAATGTACGTTGCTTGCTCGTACATATTTATTGCAGTTAAGCTTTCACTACAACTCGATCACCTTGTTGTTAAACAAGTTTACCATAAACACTGTTTCTGAAACTTGGCCGTCCACATTCGTTAGGTGTTGCAAGGTCATCCCGCAACACACGTCCACACCTGTCAACTTTTGTTTATAATATAAACTAAACGTTGCGTTTCGTTCTTCATTCAGGGTGGAGAACATGGCAACATGCATCTTAAACAAGGTTTCATCAGTTTGGTTTTTAAACTGTTTCAAAACTGTATACAGAGATTATTCAATATTGTGAAACACTGTTTATAAACAAATGTTGCCTAACGAGTATAATGCGATTCAAATAAGAATAGGAAAGCCAATGACCTCCATCTGTCAAATGTCGCTTGTACGGTTTGTTAAAAAAATCTCGGAACACTTTTTTAGCACTCAGCTGGTTCTAGAATAAAAACCAAACATTTTGTAACAATCAATAACAAATGTTAATAGGTAATTAATATTAGTTGTTTTTTTTATAATTTATTGAGCTTTGGCTATGAATGGTTTATAACCTAAATCGTCAACCAAATGTCACTTTATTTTGCGTTCAAAAACTTGATTTAAAACTTTCATTTACGTGTAGGATGCATGTTCGTATGTGACCTGTGTGATTATTCATAGCTTCTCCGGCGGTAATGCCGAATCTTCATAGAGATGAGCGAAATTGAAGAGCTAGATTCTGATAATGATTTTTTTCACACAGTCTTAATAAAGAAATAATATTAAAAATCGGTTGTGTTCTTTCTCAACCTTAGTAATTTATACATTAGTATAATTTTATTAAAAAATCTGATGTTTTGTCTCACTTAGTAAATAAGTTTTATTAAATAGCAACATTTTTTTGCTCTTTCTACCTATTTGGTTTGAATTGACAGCTATGACGTCAAAATATGGCGCCCAGTCGGTCCTCTTTTTAGTTGAATCGCATTAGACGCAGTTAGCCTTTGTACTTACAGCATTGTATAAGCGCAACAATTATATATGAGTGGTTACCACAGGCGGTGTCGTGCAGCACCGGGCTGCAGCTGTCGCCCCGCCCCCCCGCCCCCGCGGCGGGCGCGCCCCCCCCGGCGCCCCCCCCGTGCCCCCCCGGCGCCCCCGCCGCCCCCCCGCCCCACCCCGCGCCTCCCTCCGCGGAGCCCCCCGCGCCCGCGCCCGCGCCGCCCCCCCGCGGCCGACTAGACAAGGCTCAGTCTACGCCCGCATACGAAGGGGAGGACACCGGCGTCGCTCTGCCAGCCTCCGCCACTACTCTCCATACGCCCGCGTCTAACGCTGACAGGTTAGTATATCGTCGTCGCCGAACCGGGGGGTACTCCTCTCTTTCTCCGAAACGAACTTTCGATAACAAAGTTATTTATTCGTTTATTAAAGGTGTTAAGAATCGGATTAAGGTTTTGTATACTAGATGGCAGGAATAGTCTATTGAATCGCGCTATCGTTTTGTTTTTATGGAAACATAAGTATTTTATGTAGAAGCAATGAATGCTCTCTCGCTATTTAAAATTGGAACAGGTGTTTAATTATTTAGTTAGTTCCGCCTCCTTTTTGGGACACTAAACAAAAGGTCTGCCAACATTTTTACACCTTAACTTACATAATCACACTTGTATGTAACGATTTTCAGCGTAGTGCAAAAACAATAACTGTCAAACTCGACATGAACAAAAAAAAAAGTATTACACTGGCACTATAACTAAACAATATTTAGTCGATTCTTACATTCGTCTATTCGCCTGCAATGACCGACTCACCACACCGATATCATAAATAACCATTGCATATTCGAGAAACTAAAAAATGCATTGAAACACTAGGTTAAATGGAATTTATATTAAGTTAAATTTTAATTTGATTTATAGTCGGGGTTCTTATCGGATACAGTAATTTTCGAAAACGTAACAAAGAATGAGCATACAAGTCAATCGATCTACAAAACATAATTTAAGTTCAGACGAAATTACTACGTGCTTTCCGAAGCACGGAGGAACTCGAGATAAAAGATTTTTGGTCACCTATCCAATAACCGATTTATTTCAGTAAATACACTAATCAAAAATCCATTGTCAAGTTACCGCTTAAACATTTCTCTGGTCATTATGGCGTCCCACTGGTATGCGTCACACGACTGGTCATCACAACATCAAACGATACAATGTAATATCACTTTGACCAGAGTGACGTCATTTTAATCTTCACCAAATTCAGTCGCTTACGTAAATATTTTTTTAAGTTCTAGATTTATTTGTATTCACAAAACAGTAAAATCGCTGCTAAAATTCAAACTGCCAACATTTAGAACTGTAGTTTTCATATTGTCAAATAGCCTATTGCAATATCAACTTTTTTAGTAACAATATTTCTTTCGCCAGTCCCACAATCTTGGTCCACTCAGCAGAGAAAGCGGACCAGATCTTGGAGTTCAAGAAGTCCAGCAGCCAGATAGGAGAGGCGATCCTACAGCAACGGAAACGAAACGATGACAAAGAGAAAGTGCTGGAAGCCATCAACATCGCTGTTACGGAGCTCAGGCGAAGATCTACGTTACATGAGAATAGCAGCGATACTGTTGTGATTAATCAAACAAGCTTACACGTGGGACCTTCTAGGTAAGTTTAAACTTTAACCCCTATGCTGTGTAAGTGGATGATTTCTGCCAGTGTGTGGCGGCGACATCTATATGCCCCACATATAGACAACGGATGGAGGAAATCATTACTCGCCATCCTCAAGAGATGGCGTTACCTGCACTGCGATCAATAATAGTATGGAAGCCTACATCGCGCAAATGAAATTTGGAAGCTAACTCTTCATATATACGATGCCCGACCAACATCAGTTGGGCCGCGGCCCCCGAGCTACCATCACCCAGCTCGGAGGAAGATCTTCCCCTTTGGCTTTCCTACAAGTGGTTGAGAAAATTATTTAAATTTTTCTTATTTTGCGTTTTATCATATTTATTAATGAATTTTAATTTACATATCTATATATATAGATAAGTTTGTAGAGAAAATATTCAGGATAGATTTAAGATGAATTAAAAAAAGATAAATGAAGTCCAGGCTTGTACAGTAGAATTCGAATAATAAGAGAAAAATCGTACGAAAAACTTTTTGATTTTCCGGATGTGAGAAACAGAGTAGATGGCTATACAGCTGAGGGAATAAGGTTGTTGGATTAGTAGTTAGATCCTGTCGAATATGTGATGATGCAGAGTGCTGCAAGCCATCAGTATTACTGTCATAGAGCTGAGACGATGATTTACGTTACAAGAGAATAGCAACGATGCTATATTGTGGTCTATCAAACTAGTTATACTTATCATTTTTATTTTTTAGCATGAAACTGCATGATGTTTAAATCTAAAGAAAATATAACTAGAAAAAAATCCACGCGGAACATGCAGCAGACGGGACTCGAACCCGCACCCTTCGCTATCCGGGCGAATGAACTGACCAATTATTATAGTTATACTTACCTAGAAGGTGCTATGTTTATATATAGGATCTTCTAGGTAAGTATAACTGTAGGATTGAAATGTTGATATAGCATTGGTATGCTATAAAATATATAAAAAATATAAAATTATTATTTACTAGCTGTGCCCCGCGGTGTTACCCGCAGTTTATTAGGGATATTTTCCCGCAGTAAAACATAGCCTATGTGTTAATCCAAGGTGTCAACTAAATCCATACCAAATTTTACTAAAATCGCTTCAGCCGTTTAGACGTGAAGATGTAACAAACATACACACTCACAAACTTTCGCCTTTATAATATTAGTGTGATTTATTATTGGTATTTTAGCACAAAAATTCTGGAAGCAACTGTCGACGTCATTTATATATATTTATAAATAAAAAGGGACCCAGATGCGAGCCCTGGGGAAACTTGACGGGATATTAAGAAATCTGCGATTAGCAATATAGGAACTCGACCACCGCAGTAGGTCACCGTGTGTACCGAAATTCGATAATTTATAGGAACGGAATGGTTAATTTTATTAAATACTTTTGAAAAATCAGTATACACAGCGTCAACCTGGTATTCTGTGTCAAGAGAATTTGGTAGAATAGCATAAAACGACAAGTTTCTCTCGGCACTTAGCTTTTTTTAAAACCCGTGTTACTGTTGTGATATGTGTCGCGACAATATCAAGATAATTCACTAGTGACTATTTTTTCAAATATGTTCTCAAGAATTCATAATTTAGAATTTATATTGACCTACGTCACGTACGTACTCGACGTCACTACCGCATAAGATTCAAAACAAACAGCAATTTTTATGAAAAAATATATTTTATAGTATTTAAAAAAGTTATGCTGTGGGTTTTATTTTTAGTTCTTGTGCAATTTGAGCACTTTTTAAAAACACACTTAGGCATTGTTTTATCATATAAACACAGAATATTAGCAATATTTCTTTTTGGCGTTCACATGTACGTCGTTTGCATGTCAAGTTTTGACTAAAGCGATCAGGGTCGTGGACCACAATTCATGCGGATCACTTTTGTGAGGCTAGTGCCGTATCTACCCTTTTTGTTTTAATCTAAGCTTTTGACGTGACAACGTCTTAAATTAGGTTGCGGCTGGGAGTCACTTATGAAAAAGTGTAACGCTCGGTAACGTTACGATGAGTTTAAGTTTACATGTACAATGTTTTAGTAAACAAAATATATTTCTATAGTTAAAATTTGTGCAATTCTTATTTTCATTCAATTCCTTGTTCCTATTGTGCAATTTAATTATATTCATATCAATAAATATTCTACCGAGAAAAAGACGTTGTCACGTAAAATCTTCGCCCGTAAAACCGACTTTACAGGCAACCATTTTTTTTCGATATCTTAGGGGGCTTTACCCTTGCGTTAATAATTTTTTGAAAATGATATAACTAGGAGGGTGTAGAGTGGTGCCTAATATCGTGATTGTTTGTTTAGAGTGGGCCGCGTTCCGCGGGAGCCGGGCGTGCTTGGCGTACTGGGTCCGGCATCGGGGCTGGGGACCGGCCCGGCGCCGGGAACGGGTCCGACGCCGGGGACGGGTCCGACTCCGGGGATGGGCCCGGGCCCGACGCCGGCCCCGTCGCTGCCCGTGCTGCGCGCCGTGCCGCGGCCTCACTCCCCGCCCCCGCCCAGACCCACCAGGCTGCTGCACGCCTCACAGGTAATAATAATAACTAGCAAACCAGTGAACCAAATGTTCACCAAAACTTGATTTAAAAAAATGGGTGCGTGTACTTATGTAGGCGCGTGAGAAGTTATCCTTCTTTGGCATCGTTTAAAATTAGTTTTTAATTGCATGCAAATAATAAATTACAATAAATTAATAAAAAGTCTGGAAAAGGACACAGTCAATAAAGTTAAGTTTTGATTTGAAAAAATAAATAAATAATCAAAATATTCAATTAAAATCGCTACTGAATATAATTTATTAGAACATAAATATGTGATTTGCACTTGTATGAAACTCAAACACGTATTCCGAATATACAAACTAGAAACATGTGGATAAATATTATAAATATGAATACCTATAACTGTTACTTTATTACAAAAAATAAAGATGTGGTTTTTGGTTCTACTACACCAATGGTCAAGAGATGGCGCTGTAGTCTCCTGAATCGCGCTTTGGTTCCGTTGTTCCAGATTAATAAATACTTTTGATAGGCCTTCACAATGCAGTCGTTAGCACCCACTAAATAGAGATTCTATTTCTATTTTGTTGGTAGATTTTCTTAATGTGCGGTAAACACAAAAGTAACGCATGCGACCAACTTCATGCTGTTAAAATTTTGTGTTACAGTGATGCGCGCGCATCTTAAAATTTCACTCTCATCTTTTTTTCATAACGCGCCTAAAGAAGTATAACTTCAAAAAAAATGTATTTCATTAATTGAGAACTTCGGAGATTTTGTGTGGTTTCGTTTGAAATAGAAATCACGTGATTTCTCGAAAACCGGAAGTGCTACGTTACTCAAATCCGGTTTGTAGTCTTATCAGACTATTCTTAACTTATAACTTAAATATTCTCTTTATCTATCTCTTACGGTTTGGCCGCTGAAACAGCACCACAGACGGACGGACGGACTTGTCTAATAGATAAGAGATAATAATAATATTTTTTTTATTTTCTTTAACATGGTTTAGTTACATTCTATACTCACGATTGGAGCCACCTTTTAAGCAAATAATGCCTGTGACAGGCGACTCCGCTCTTCCATACCTAAAATTACTGTTTGCTTATCGATCTTTATGTTTAAACAAAAAAAATGGACTTATAAATGTTAGCACATAATATCAAGGAATAATAAACCTTAAATTATTTACATAGTTTTAAAATAATAATACGAAAGTCTTGTGTAGTTTTATGTGTGTGTGTTTATGTCGAGTGTGTGTGTGTATTTGTGCGTGTGAGTGGGTGGTGATGCTATGTTTTTTTTTCTTACTTTTACCTATTGTAACAAGGCCTCCGTTTCCTCATAATCCAACGAAGTTATGTAGATTATTATATTTTGTTTACATTCGTGTGAGGTTTAAGTATATATATCTACGATTTTAATTATTTTATAATATATATATGCCGAGCGAAAATTATATTACATGGATCCAAACGCAGTTTTTGTTCGTGGAAGTCCAATAGAGCTTTTTCTTCTCTTTAATGTTTTACTAGGATCAAAGGTGTATTGTTCCCTCCGATTACGTCGGCCTAGCCACGTCTTATAGTACTCCGACGACCAAATCGCTCGCGACAACGCGCCTGCCACTCCTCCCACACAGGCCACAAGAAGCAACACTACACAGCTAGCATAATAGGGATGATGACTATTTTTTTTTCTTCGTTCATCAGGTAGATTATCAAAAAGTATTGGACACGTATTTTTTCTTCCTTCACATAATATAAACATTGCAGAGATATATTGATTTGAAAATTCGCATGACGTCACGAGCCCCTACTCCAAAACTTTGACGCGCTATAACTTTGTAATTTTTTGGTTGATTGCCCAAAGAAAGAATACGTGTCCCTTATTTTTTGATCATCTAACTGACGGACTAAAAAAAATTTCGTTTACTGTACCCCGTCATCACCCCTATTGCACACTAGCTTAGCATTACGCAAATACCGCACCCGTAGGATAAGAGTTTCGCACTATTATCCTACAGGTGCCCGGGTGACCCGGTCTGCACACGACACGCTATACCAGGTACAGGTACGTACCCGGGCGTTTTTCCCGCCCCCCACGACAACGATTCACTAGAGCCGAAGATCGAGTTTCAGCGAAGCCCTCTAGTTGAGCCGACCCCCTCAGCTTCGAGTGGTGTAGAAGCTCCAGACGGAGAGGAGACTCCCCCCGTGGGGAGATGCCATCCGCATGGAATACCCACCGAATACTCACCTATTCTCGGCTTGAAGTCCCCTTAGAATCTCGCCGTTCCCAAACCCGGTAACGCTGTAAAGGTCAGATGCGACCAACAGCATATACACTAAAAAAAAGTCTACTGTGCACCACTGTGTCATCATCCCACTAGAGGGCTTCATTATCAGCCTATCAATGTCTCCTATGACACAAGTCTGAACCTATGGATAGAATAGGGAGATGTCCTCGCCTCGAGACACTCCTTATTAAATTCACGTAAATGATAAAACATTCCCAGTTCAAATGTCTAACTCGATCAAGATCAGAATATTTAGTCATGATTTAAAACTAAAGCTGTCTCTGTGTTTTTTTTTACAAACAAAAGTGACAGTGGTGTCGATTCTGACACGATTCTCTAAATCTAAACTTAAATTTGACAATAGTGTTTCCTTGTCATTCTCTATACAGAATGAAAAAGAGAGACTGATGTTAAATTTAGTTTTAAGTTTAGAGAATCACGCCAGAATCGACACCAGTATCAGTTTTTAACTAGGTTTAACTTAAGTCGACAGTTTGCAGTAAGGCGGTTAGTGTTTAGTAGAAATTATCAAAATGACTTTTTTTTTCTCCAGATATCCCTCCCATTACGTCATATAACGAAACACGACATAATGGTTATCCCAAGTGAACGGCGCGAACTACCCCCCATCAACCTAGAGATCGAGTCCCCATCGTCCACCACACCTCCGCAGACGATGGACTTTCGCCCCGCCAGGAGGGACGGATGCCACGAAGTAGTAGAGATGAAAGCTCTGACGCTGTCCCCTTCTGCGGGCGTCGTCAAGAGTATCTTCCCCACTTCCAAATCTAGGAGTTTGAAGAAGAAGAACTCGATACTTGCTAGTAAGTCTTAGTATTAATGTCTATCTAACTATATCTTTACACTAAGAGCAATGCCAAAAATCATAAATTAATACTGAATTGTAACGTTAAAATTAATCGGCAGTAAATAATAATTACACACGCAGAACGTTTGAAGACCTGCTAAAGATCAGTGCCTCGTGAAGGAGTAAAAATAAAAATAAACTTTCGTCTTTCTTTAAAATTTTCTCTTAGAGAATCTCTTGCCTTCAAGTTGTATATGGCGTGAACAGATCTCTTTTGCAGTATGAAAATACTATCGATATTAGCAGCTGAGTCCACACAACAATAGGCCATATGTCATTACGCTATGAAAGTAACCAAAGTAAACCAATCTTGACGTGTCCACTGTTTCTTTTTTAACAGCAAAAGCCGCGGAGCTCAGTCTACTTGATAAGGCGTCAATATGAGGATCCCATTGTAAATGAGAGTCTAAAGTAATAACTCTACAGGCTGGTTGTTTATTTTTATACTAGTATTAACTTGCCTCAAATTAGGCAGGGTAAACGTAACACATTTTGTTTTATTAAAGTTTACTTTTAAATTATTTACCGTAAACCAATGAAAGACTTCAGAGAGAGCACAATTTACTTCGTCATAACAATCATTTCCTCTTCTAGCCTTAAACACTAAAGAGGTGTCATTAGCAAATAGTACTGTCTCACACAAATCTCTGGCCAAGTGAGAAAGGTCATTGATATAAATAAGGAAAAGCAATGGGCCTGATATTGAACCCTGGGGCACATCCATAGAAATGGGTGCTCCTTTAGACTCAGCTTCATTCATAACTCTTCCTGAATCCTAGCAAAAAGATAAGACTGTATCAGACTTAGTAAAATGTTTGATACACCATAATAATGCCTCATTTTATTTAACAATGTTTTATGGCTGACGCAGTCAAACGCCTTTGGTAAGTTACAAAAAATGCCAATAGCGTCGTGCTTACTTTCTCATATATTAAAAACGTGTTTGAAAAGTGCAGTTCCAGCATCAGTACTACTTTTGCTTCTAATGAAACCAAACTGAAGTGTGCTAGTATAACACATATAAGACATACATTGCTTACTGACCTAGAACAAGAACTAAGATTTCCAGTTGTTTCGAATGCTGCTATAGAAAATAAATTTTCAAATGTGTTTGCAGAAGAAATTTTCAACAACAACAAACAACATACCCACACAATATTTGCAACTTAAAGTACACTTCTATTGCCATTTTATTTACATAAATTAAGCAAAATAAAGTAAAATTATTTTTAAAACTGAGTGATACAAATTGACAACTTAACCGGTTAGTTTTGCCAGCAAAAAGTCCGAGAAAGAATTGTGTACGAGCTAACGACCAAGTGTAATTGCGCCCATTAGGCTGTCTATCCACGGGTGCGAAAGCGAGGCTGCCGAGCGCAGAAATGTTAGAATTACTAATCAATAGGGATCCACAAAGTCTTTCCACTAAAAAGGAGCGGAGATTTCGTGCAATTCTAACGGTTAATATTTATATGTTTCTCCTCTTCGCAATTTCGTTTCGTTCGGGGGGCGGGTAGCCTAATCATGCTTTTATTTAAGGAGGGTTTATGTGGTTGCTCACGTAGAACGTCGCTGCATCCCGCTACGCAGCTTGCTAGGCTCGGGCGGGGACGGGTCCGGGTCCGGGTCCGGGTCGGGCGTGGTGCGCGCGGGGCCGGCGTGGCAGCGCGTGAAGGCGCGCGGCGCGGCCACGGCGCGCTGGGTGCCGCGACACCTGCTGCTGGCGCACGACACGCTCTACGCGTACCGCTCCACCTGTGTCAGTATAATGATATCTGTGTAGCACACATACACATACACATACGCGGGGCCGGGGCCGGGGCCGGGGCCGGGGCCGGCGTGGCAGCGCGTGAAGGCGCGCGGCGCGGCCACGGCGCGCTGGGTGCCGCGACACCTGCTGCTGGCGCACGACACGCTCTACGCGTACCGCTCCACCTGTGTCAGTATAATGATATCTGTGTACCACACATACACATACACATACGCGGGGCCGGGGCCGGGGCCGGGGCCGGGGCCGGCGTGGCAGCGCGTGAAGGCGCGCGGCGCGGCCACGGCGCGCTGGGTGCCGCGACACCTGCTGCTGGCGCACGACACGCTCTACGCGTACCGCTCCACCTGTGTCAGTATAATGATATCTGTGTACCACACATACACATACACATACGCGGGGCCGGGGCCGGGGCCGGGGCCGGGGCCGGCGTGGCAGCGCGTGAAGGCGCGCGGCGCGGCCACGGCGCGCTGGGTGCCGCGACACCTGCTGCTGGCGCACGACACGCTCTACGCGTACCGCTCCACCTGTGTCAGTATAATGATATCTGTGTACCACACATACACATACACATACGCGGGGCCGGGGCCGGGGCCGGGGCCGGGGCCGGCGTGGCAGCGCGTGAAGGCGCGCGGCGCGGCCACGGCGCGCTGGGTGCCGCGACACCTGCTGCTGGCGCACGACACGCTCTACGCGTACCGCTCCACCTGTGTCAGTATAATGATATCTGTGTAGCACACATACACATACACATACACATACGCGGGGCCGGGGCCGGGGCCGGGGCCGGGGCCGGCGTGGCAGCGCGTGAAGGCGCGCGGCGCGGCCACGGCGCGCTGGGTGCCGCGACACCTGCTGCTGGCGCACGACACGCTCTACGCGTACCGCTCCACCTGTGTCAGTATAATGATATCTGTGTACCACACATACACATACACATACACATACGCGGGGCCGGGGCCGGGGCCGGGGCCGGGGCCGGCGTGGCAGCGCGTGAAGGCGCGCGGCGCGGCCACGGCGCGCTGGGTGCCGCGACACCTGCTGCTGGCGCACGACACGCTCTACGCGTACCGCTCCACCTGTGTCAGTATAATGATATCTGTGTAGCACACATACACATACACATACACATACGCGGGGCCGGGGCCGGGGCCGGGGCCGGGGCCGGCGTGGCAGCGCGTGAAGGCGCGCGGCGCGGCCACGGCGCGCTGGGTGCCGCGACACCTGCTGCTGGCGCACGACACGCTCTACGCGTACCGCTCCACCTGTGTCAGTATAATGATATCTGTGTACCACACATACACATACACATACGCGGGGCCGGGGCCGGGGCCGGGGCCGGGGCCGGGGCCGGGGCCGGCGTGGCAGCGCGTGAAGGCGCGCGGCGCGGCCACGGCGCGCTGGGTGCCGCGACACCTGCTGCTGGCGCACGACACGCTCTACGCGTACCGCTCCACCTGTGTCAGTATAATGATATCTGTGTAGCACACATACACATACACATACACATACGCGGGGCCGGGGCCGGGGCCGGGGCCGGGGCCGGCGTGGCAGCGCGTGAAGGCGCGCGGCGCGGCCACGGCGCGCTGGGTGCCGCGACACCTGCTGCTGGCGCACGACACGCTCTACGCGTACCGCTCCACCTGTGTCAGTATAATGATATCTGTGTAGCACACATACACATACACATACGCGGGGCCGGGGCCGGGGCCGGGGCCGGCGTGGCAGCGCGTGAAGGCGCGCGGCGCGGCCACGGCGCGCTGGGTGCCGCGACACCTGCTGCTGGCGCACGACACGCTCTACGCGTACCGCTCCACCTGTGTCAGTATAATGATATCTGTGTAGCACACATACACATACACATACACATACGCGGGGCCGGGGCCGGGGCCGGGGCCGGGGCCGGCGTGGCAGCGCGTGAAGGCGCGCGGCGCGGCCACGGCGCGCTGGGTGCCGCGACACCTGCTGCTGGCGCACGACACGCTCTACGCGTACCGCTCCACCTGTGTCAGTATAATGATATCTGTGTAGCACACATACACATACACATACGCGGGGCCGGGGCCGGGGCCGGGGCCGGGGCCGGGGCCGGCGTGGCAGCGCGTGAAGGCGCGCGGCGCGGCCACGGCGCGCTGGGTGCCGCGACACCTGCTGCTGGCGCACGACACGCTCTACGCGTACCGCTCCACCTGTGTCAGTATAATGATATCTGTGTAGCACACATACACATACACATACACATACGCGGGGCCGGGGCCGGGGCCGGGGCCGGGGCCGGCGTGGCAGCGCGTGAAGGCGCGCGGCGCGGCCACGGCGCGCTGGGTGCCGCGACACCTGCTGCTGGCGCACGACACGCTCTACGCGTACCGCTCCACCTGTGTCAGTATAATGATATCTGTGTAGCACACATACACATACACATACACATACGCGGGGCCGGGGCCGGGGCCGGGGCCGGGGCCGGCGTGGCAGCGCGTGAAGGCGCGCGGCGCGGCCACGGCGCGCTGGGTGCCGCGACACCTGCTGCTGGCGCACGACACGCTCTACGCGTACCGCTCCACCTGTGTCAGTATAATGATATCTGTGTACCACACATACACATACACATACGCGGGGCCGGGGCCGGGGCCGGGGCCGGGGCCGGGGCCGGCGTGGCAGCGCGTGAAGGCGCGCGGCGCGGCCACGGCGCGCTGGGTGCCGCGACACCTGCTGCTGGCGCACGACACGCTCTACGCGTACCGCTCCACCTGTGTCAGTATAATGATATCTGTGTACCACACATACACATACACATACGCGGGGCCGGGGCCGGGGCCGGGGCCGGGGCCGGGGCCGGCGTGGCAGCGCGTGAAGGCGCGCGGCGCGGCTCTTTTTCAATGATAGCTTCATGTTAGTAAAATTATTTCATGTACGGTTGCATTTAGAAATAGCCTTTGTCTCCTTGCATTACGTATACTTTTGTTTAATAATTATTATTTTATTATTTTTTGTAATTTTTTTAAGTTATATTTTTATCGAAATCAAGGCAGATGCCAATTGCAACCGTCCTTTCAGCATCTCTGTTATTTCAGTTACACATTCTATAATATTCATATCTATGATAGATATCATCTGTTGAAAATAATTTATTTAGCACACAACTTTAACCACCTGTTTGTTTATCTCGAGTTAGTTTAGCGTTTACCTGAACTTAATCAGATTCATTTATCTCCGTAGTGCTCGAAAGCGGACTGCATGATTAACCTGGAAGGCTTCACGGTGTGCGCCGCGTCCGAGGTGAAGTCCCGCGCGCACGCGTGGAAGGTGTACCACACCGGCACCGCCTTCTACTTCGCCGCCCACTCGCAGCAAGAGATGCTGGGCTGGATCCGGGCCCTCGCCGCCCACGCCCTGCGTGACGCGCCCTACACGCAGGTGATGTGAGAGAGATGATCGACGATGTCCTCATACCCCAGGTTCATAACACCGGCACCGCCTTCTACTTCGCCGCCCACTCGCAGCAAGAGATGCTGGGCTGGATCCGGGCCCTCGCCGCCCACGCCCTGCGTGACGCGCCCTACACGCAGGTGATGTGAGAGAGATGATCGACGATGTCCTCATACCCCAGGTTCATAACACCGGCACCGCCTTCTACTTCGCCGCCCACTCGCAGCAAGAGATGCTGGGCTGGATCCGGGCCCTCGCCGCCCACGCCCTGCGTGACGCGCCCTACACGCAGGTGATGTGAGAGAGATGATCGACGATGTCCTCATACCCCAGGTTCATAACACCGGCACCGCCTTCTACTTCGCCGCCCACTCGCAGCAAGAGATGCTGGGCTGGATCCGGGCCCTCGCCGCCCACGCCCTGCGTGACGCGCCCTACACGCAGGTGATGTGAGAGAGATGATCGACGATGTCCTCATACCCCAGGTTCATAACACCGGCACCGCCTTCTACTTCGCCGCCCACTCGCAGCAAGAGATGCTGGGCTGGATCCGGGCCCTCGCCGCCCACGCCCTGCGTGACGCGCCCTACACGCAGGTGATGTGAGAGAGATGATCGACGATGTCCTCATACCCCAGGTTCATAACACCGGCACCGCCTTCTACTTCGCCGCCCACTCGCAGCAAGAGATGCTGGGCTGGATCCGGGCCCTCGCCGCCCACGCCCTGCGTGACGCGCCCTACACGCAGGTGATGTGAGAGAGATGATCGACGATGTCCTCATACCCCAGGTTCATAACACCGGCACCGCCTTCTACTTCGCCGCCCACTCGCAGCAAGAGATGCTGGGCTGGATCCGGGCCCTCGCCGCCCACGCCCTGCGTGACGCGCCCTACACGCAGGTGATGTGAGAGAGATGATCGACGATGTCCTCATACCCCAGGTTCATAACACCGGCACCGCCTTCTACTTCGCCGCCCACTCGCAGCAAGAGATGCTGGGCTGGATCCGGGCCCTCGCCGCCCACGCCCTGCGTGACGCGCCCTACACGCAGGTGATGTGAGAGAGATGATCGACGATGTCCTCATACCCCAGGTTCATAACACCGGCACCGCCTTCTACTTCGCCGCCCACTCGCAGCAAGAGATGCTGGGCTGGATCCGGGCCCTCGCCGCCCACGCCCTGCGTGACGCGCCCTACACGCAGGTGATGTGAGAGAGATGATCGACGATGTCCTCATACCCCAGGTTCATAACACCGGCACCGCCTTCTACTTCGCCGCCCACTCGCAGCAAGAGATGCTGGGCTGGATCCGGGCCCTCGCCGCCCACGCCCTGCGTGACGCGCCCTACACGCAGGTGATGTGAGAGAGATGATCGACGATGTCCTCATACCCCAGGTTCATAACACCGGCACCGCCTTCTACTTCGCCGCCCACTCGCAGCAAGAGATGCTGGGCTGGATCCGGGCCCTCGCCGCCCACGCCCTGCGTGACGCGCCCTACACGCAGGTGATGTGAGAGAGATGATCGACGATGTCCTCATACCCCAGGTTCATAACACCGGCACCGCCTTCTACTTCGCCGCCCACTCGCAGCAAGAGATGCTGGGCTGGATCCGGGCCCTCGCCGCCCACGCCCTGCGTGACGCGCCCTACACGCAGGTGATGTGAGAGAGATGATCGACGATGTCCTCATACCCCAGGTTCATAACACCGGCACCGCCTTCTACTTCGCCGCCCACTCGCAGCAAGAGATGCTGGGCTGGATCCGGGCCCTCGCCGCCCACGCCCTGCGTGACGCGCCCTACACGCAGGTGATGTGAGAGAGATGATCGACGATGTCCTCATACCCCAGGTTCATAACACCGGCACCGCCTTCTACTTCGCCGCCCACTCGCAGCAAGAGATGCTGGGCTGGATCCGGGCCCTCGCCGCCCACGCCCTGCGTGACGCGCCCTACACGCAGGTGATGTGAGAGAGATGATCGACGATGTCCTCATACCCCAGGTTCATAACACCGGCACCGCCTTCTACTTCGCCGCCCACTCGCAGCAAGAGATGCTGGGCTGGATCCGGGCCCTCGCCGCCCACGCCCTGCGTGACGCGCCCTACACGCAGGTGATGTGAGAGAGATGATCGACGATGTCCTCATACCCCAGGTTCATAACACCGGCACCGCCTTCTACTTCGCCGCCCACTCGCAGCAAGAGATGCTGGGCTGGATCCGGGCCCTCGCCGCCCACGCCCTGCGTGACGCGCCCTACACGCAGGTGATGTGAGAGAGATGATCGACGATGTCCTCATACCCCAGGTTCATAACACCGGCACCGCCTTCTACTTCGCCGCCCACTCGCAGCAAGAGATGCTGGGCTGGATCCGGGCCCTCGCCGCCCACGCCCTGCGTGACGCGCCCTACACGCAGGTGATGTGAGAGAGATGATCGACGATGTCCTCATACCCCAGGTTCATAACACCGGCACCGCCTTCTACTTCGCCGCCCACTCGCAGCAAGAGATGCTGGGCTGGATCCGGGCCCTCGCCGCCCACGCCCTGCGTGACGCGCCCTACACGCAGGTGATGTGAGAGAGATGATCGACGATGTCCTCATACCCCAGGTTCATAACACCGGCACCGCCTTCTACTTCGCCGCCCACTCGCAGCAAGAGATGCTGGGCTGGATCCGGGCCCTCGCCGCCCACGCCCTGCGTGACGCGCCCTACACGCAGGTGATGTGAGAGAGATGATCGACGATGTCCTCATACCCCAGGTTCATAACACCGGCACCGCCTTCTACTTCGCCGCCCACTCGCAGCAAGAGATGCTGGGCTGGATCCGGGCCCTCGCCGCCCACGCCCTGCGTGACGCGCCCTACACGCAGGTGATGTGAGAGAGATGATCGACGATGTCCTCATACCCCAGGTTCATAACACCGGCACCGCCTTCTACTTCGCCGCCCACTCGCAGCAAGAGATGCTGGGCTGGATCCGGGCCCTCGCCGCCCACGCCCTGCGTGACGCGCCCTACACGCAGGTGATGTGAGAGAGATGATCGACGATGTCCTCGTACCATCGGATCCTATCCTACTTCCTACTCATATTATTAACGTGATATTTTGTATATTTATTCTCCTGCTCGATCACGCAAAAGCTACTGAACTGATTTTCATGAAATTCGGTACGCATTTAGTTTATGACCTAGATTGCAACAAAATACTTATTATCCCGGAAAAATGTTAGGTGCCTGAAGGATTTTGAATAAACTAAGTTTAACGCGGACGAAGTCGCAGTCGACGTTTGTTTGTTACTCATCACGCAAAAGCTACAGAACAGTCCAGTTAGGCCTACTTGCTAACTGCTTTTGAAAGTTGGAAGTGATAATCACCAAGCTATGTAGTGATCCAAAACTGCTTTATTATAAAGCCACTAAGATACTTATTCTGATTAACATCGCTGGTTATGCGATTTCATCTATAGTTACACACTGTAAATATCAAAACAGTTCCCCCTACTGTAATAACTTTCTGAACTGGTTTTTGATTTTTCATTCTATAGTTTTTGATTTTTCATGCTATAGTTTTTGATTTTTCAACTATAGTTTTTGTTTTTTCATGCTATAAAATTATAGCATAAATCAAAAATAAGACTGCCCATATTTTTGTTTTTTTTAAGACCACATTAAAATGAATACCTTTTGTTTTACGGGATTGGGTCAGGGTAGGCAGCGGCGCAAGTGATATTTTTGTATCGCAAGTGTATAGGCTATGGTGGCTACTTACTATCAGCGGCCTATACGCTTGCTTGCCACTCTTTAAACATTGTTTTGACAAACGACATAACATCTTATATTTAACTAGCGACCCGCCCTTGTTTCGCTTCGGTGTAGAGCTGAAGTGTAGACTACAGCTTTTGTTCTCAGGCTTGTATTATACACAATGACATTCATCTATGATTCTTCTTATACCTGCATGCAAAGTCTCAGCCCGATCAGTTTAAAATTGACAAAGTTTCATTCAAACTTTCATTCCCTATTTTATCCCCTTGGGGGTAGAATTGATCAAAATCCTTTCTTAGCGGATGGCGACGTCATAACATCTACCTGCATGTCAAATTTCAGCCCGATCCGTCCAGTGGTCTGGGCTGTGCGTTGATAGATCACTATGTCAGTCACTCACCTTTAAGTTTTATATATGTACTTGTAAGAAAAAATATTAATTTGTTTCTTAAAAACAGTGATGTTCACACAATTAATACAAGAATCAAAAATAAACTAACTTTACCTGCTACTAGGCTTCACAAAATTAATAATTCATTTAAAGGTATTTGTGTTCGCTTATACAATAAAGTCCCAAGCAATATCCAAGAGGTAGCCATAAATAAATTTAAAGATATTATAAATAAACACTTATTAAAAAAGCTTATTACAAAGTGTCTGATTATATTACCGACAAAATTGCTTGGGTTTGAACTGTTCCAATCATTCCAACAGGTTTTCTATATTAAATAAATCATAATTGTATTGACGTTGTAACAACATAATGATTTGTAAACGTTGTTACATTAGACTTTTAATGTTGTGGAGTTTTTTTCGCTCGTTTTTCTCCGCAGCTAAAAAATATGTCCATAACGAGTGGTAGGGAAAAAAAATTTTTGAGGGATTCAAAAGAGTCGTATCATACATCCAATTCGAATAAAGATATTTTGATTTCTGATTTCTCGATATATAGATAATAATATGTTATCCATTCGGCAGTTGGATATATCCCAACAATTCTCCGAGACCGATTACTCGGACACGGAGTCCGACAACGAGAACTCGGAGCGGCGCGAGCGAGAGAGAGAGTCGCGGGAGCAGTGCGAGAGGGACAGGGACAGGGACAGGGACAAGGACAAGTCCAAGTTCGGCTCGTTGAAGAAGCTCACGGGCCGCATGCAGCGCAGCGAGTCCTCCGACAACGTGGGCCACTCCACCAGTCTGGACCGGAAGTATCTGAGGTTCTTCTCGAGGCATAAGAATAAGGACGAGTCTAAGCCCAGCAAGGTAAGTAGGTCGCTCGATGGCGCAGGTGGTTAGCGCGTTCGGCTGCGATCGTTGAAGTTAAGCAACTTTTGCAGTGGTCGGTCATTGAATGGGCGACCAAAAATCTTCTATCTCGGGTTGCTCCGTGCTTCGGAAGGCACGTTAAGCCGGTGGTCCCGGCTGCCTCTGCAGTCGTTGGCACCCGCCAATCCGCATTGGCTCAGCGTGGTACGTCATGGCCCAATCTCCCTATTCCATCCATAGAGAAGGCCTAATATGATAGACTGTTATGAATAGGAGATTAAAAGGCTGAGGAAGATGATGTAGGTAGGTAAATATATAGTTATATAGTATAATATATAGTATAATATAGTTCACCAGAAATGTTGCGTTTTTTTAATGTTTTTATTTCAACGGCTGAACGGATTTGGATGAAATTTGGCACCCATATAGTTTATTACCTGGATTGAGACATAGGTTGGGTTTCTAAGGGATTCTCAAATCTCTTAAAGTTAATGCGGACGAAGTTGCGGGCGGCCATTAGTATTGTACAGCTGATTCAATATTTTACTATATTTTGTATACTTACACTATAGTTTATGTTTGTCAAATATACCGAACTGTATGAAAAATTTGATCTAGAAGGGAACTTTCAATTGAATATTTTAATTTGTTACTATAACGATAACTCTTTAAAAGCCATCTCTAGACCGACACGAAGCTCTTACCAATGTTATCTAATTAGTAGTACATATTAAAACTTACTATTGCGGCTTACTGTTGCCTTCTATTTATATTATCCTTTGCGAACGTTGCTACTCAACAGACATTCTCGCATCCCACAAATTAAGATTTTACATTAAAAGTTTTTGTATCAACTTCTATTACTTGAGGACCTCCGTGGCCGAGTGGTTTATACGCCGGGTTTCATGGTGTCGCCGACTCGAGTGGTCTCGGTTTCGAATCCCAGTGGGGGCAAATATAAAAACTCAAAACTTACACTGCTTAAATAAAACTAGTTTCAACGGGTTAATGCACGAAACTTTATTTATTTATTGACGTTTCACTGCTTACTTTAGGGCTTGGCTAATTGGTGTGACTGTTGGAAATATCTAAAAATTAAGACTAGCACTAGTTTATTTTTATTCCCCATTTAGTTAGGGAATGTGCAGTCCTTTATATATGTCTATCGCACGATCGCCTTCCGTCAGTAACTTTCATTCCTTACATATTTATGTTTATAGATAAAGCAACCAGTCCCCATTCCCACTGAGCAGTACCGCAGCTACAGACGGGCTCCCTCACCGGCCACTGCGGGAGGGACAGGGACGGCTATAGCCGCGGGACAGGGACAGAAGGCCTCCCCTCCCCCTGCCCCTGCCCCTGCCCCTGCCCCTGCCCCTCCCTCCATCGCTGCCCCGCGGCAGCTCACGCTGGAGGAGCTCATGCTGGCCGAGCAGGACACGAGACAGGTATAGATACACTATGCACTCGCCAGTCGCCTCCCTCACCGGCCACTGCGGGAGGGACAGGGACGGCTATAGCCGCGGGACAGGGACAGAAGGCCTACAAACATACTTACATACAAATCTTTCCTTTTTATAATATTATTAAGTATAGACTACTAATTTTATAGAAATTATTCTTGAAATATCTTTAGCTATCGCAGTAGAATCGTTGCCCTTTGGTGCAACAGCAATAAGTCCTACCTTGCTTTAAAGCCAATCTTTCTTTTAATTAAACAAAAATATTTTTTTTAAATTAAAAATAGTTAAAAACATCCACATTTGCCTAGAACAACTTTTTAACGTGCCATCTTGCCAGTCCCTAACGAATACAACAAACGATTTCACGCCATATGATATTATTCTTAAAGTCAATTTCCCCTCCCAGATGTACACGGATCGCGTGGTGCTGGGGGTCCAGACAGACCTACAGAGACGCCTGGATAGCGTGGTGCCCGACGTCGTATACTCGCAGCTGCCCACGCCTGGGACGCAGGTTACATTATTTACAGACCTACAGAGACGCCTGGATAGCGTGGTGCCCGACGTCGTCTACTCGCAGCTGCCCACGCCTGGGACGCAGGTTACATTATTTACAGACCTACAGAGACGCCTGGATAGCGTGGTGCCCGACGTCGTCTACTCGCAGCTGCCCACGCCTGGGACGCAGGTTACATTATTTACAGACCTACAGAGACGCCTGGATAGCGTGGTGCCCGACGTCGTATACTCGCAGCTGCCCACGCCTGGGACGCAGGTTACATTATTTACAGACCTACAGAGACGCCTGGATAGCGTGGTGCCCGACGTCGTATACTCGCAGCTGCCCACGCCTGGGACGCAGGTTACATTATTTACAGACCTACAGAGACGCCTGGATAGCGTGGTGCCCGACGTCGTCTACTCGCAGCTGCCCACGCCTGGGACGCAGGTTACATTATTTACAGACCTACAGAGACGCCTGGATAGCGTGGTGCCCGACGTCGTCTACTCGCAGCTGCCCACGCCTGGGACGCAGGTTACATTATTTACAGACCTACAGAGACGCCTGGATAGCGTGGTGCCCGACGTCGTCTACTCGCAGCTGCCCACGCCTGGGACGCAGGTTACATTATTTACAGACCTACAGAGACGCCTGGATAGCGTGGTGCCCGACGTCGTCTACTCGCAGCTGCCCACGCCTGGGACGCAGGTTACATTATTTACAGACCTACAGAGACGCCTGGATAGCGTGGTGCCCGACGTCGTCTACTCGCAGCTGCCCACGCCTGGGACGCAGGTTACATTATTTACAGACCTACAGAGACGCCTGGATAGCGTGGTGCCCGACGTCGTCTACTCGCAGCTGCCCACGCCTGGGACGCAGGTTACATTATTTACAGACCTACAGAGACGCCTGGATAGCGTGGTGCCCGACGTCGTCTACTCGCAGCTGCCCACGCCTGGGACGCAGGTTACATTATTTACAGACCTACAGAGACGCCTGGATAGCGTGGTGCCCGACGTCGTCTACTCGCAGCTGCCCACGCCTGGGACGCAGGTTACATTATTTACAGACCTACAGAGACGCCTGGATAGCGTGGTGCCCGACGTCGTCTACTCGCAGCTGCCCACGCCTGGGACGCAGGTTACATTATTTACAGACCTACCTAAGAAGTGTGACATCGTGTGACAAGGGGATTGGAAGGGATCCTAAATTTCGTGACGTCACATTTCAAAATCTATTATAATCTAAGTGTTGAAACTATTACTTTACGAAAAATGAAAAGGGTGAAAGGAATTGAAGGGCGTAAAGGGGATTCGAGGGTGATAAAGGGTGGTGGATGATAATAAGTGATTAGTTGTTGATAGTGGGGATTGATGGGTGACGGAGTGGGGTGGATCTATTTCCCTTCGAGATGAAGGAAAGCCAGACAGTCTGGTACCGTAACGCGTTATGTAACGAAGCGGTTTACCCTCCCATAGCGAGTTATCACTTCAAAAATATTTTAATAACTACCTATGTAGGTGTATTGTTTAACATTCGTATTAAATTGCAAAAATCTAAATACATAGAAATATTTGAAAATTGAGGTAACAATGAAAGTGCGGGCAATAATTGGGGATGCTGGGGTGGATTTAGGCGGTGGCTTTACTGCCATTAAGCGTAAAAAGGACTTTTTTTTTTGGCGAGATTGGGAAGCGTCACTTTAGCAGTTTTGTTTTTCTTGTTAAAAATTGTGTAGTGGCGGATGTTAGTGTCTAATAATGGTGGATTATTAACCACTAAGTGTTCGGGAACATGCACAAGTGCTGGCAAGTGAAACAAAATAGCGGAAAGTGTCTTTCGACGTTCCCTCAAGAAGTTCACGGGGATGTTCCAGTAAATCCCCACACTTTTACTGAAACATAGGGAAAGGGGGATTGACTTGACTGCCACTTATTTTGACTTGATTTATTACTTTGACCACGAGTGCTATAGAATTTGTAAACATTTTAACACTTGACATTGGCTAAATGCACAAGCCGTGCAAAGCCACTTAGAATAAAAAGCGTATAAAGTCTGCTTCTGCGCTGACACGCTTGCGCAACCGCACGAGTGGCATCCTCAGGGTATTTATTGACCGCTGGGAGTTAGCTATTTTGCAATGATGGGTAAAGATCGTATTCACACAATGATCAAATTTTTATGCGTACCTTAGCATAATTTTGGATACCAAGATTTTCATCCTTACAAAAATTGTATAATACTGTGTTTTGTGTATATTTTGTCATTTTTCTTACCCTATTAAATAGCTATTTAATAATTATGTAATGAAAAGTGACTTCATGAATCACCTCTGAAGTCATTTTTCAATTTGACGACTCTGTAAATAATAAAACAGGGAGAAAAAAACAGCCCTTGCTGAGTTTCTTGCCGGTTCTTCTCAGTACAAGGTCTCCCGCCGTAGATTTACGAACCGATGGCGTAGCTTCTAGACATTCATATGTGCTTGTAACAGCCTAAACTGAATAAATGATTTTGATTATGATTATGATTATTATGATTATCTTAGGAATATTGTTACTAACACAATGGGCTTAATAAAAAAAAATATTTAAAATATTAATGATAATGACTCTCGTAAACTATCAGAATTGATGTTGGAAATATTCAATACATCTAAAGAGATTTAAATGTTGTTTATGTTCGATAAAGGGAAGTGGAAGACTCTGCAAACATGATGTCCCTATTTACAAGCTTCTATTTAACTTGCACTTCAGCAGCTTCAAACTCAAACTCATTTATTCAGTCTAGGCTGTTACAAGCTCTTGTGAATGTCAAACGCTACGCCATCGGTTTGTAAATCTACGACGGGAGACCTTGTACCGAGAAGAACCGGCAAGAAACTCAGCAAGGGCTATTTTTTTCTCCCTGTTTTGTTTCATACAGTGTCGTCAATTGAAAGATGACATCAGAAACTAAAAACATGTGTTGATGTCATATTTCATCACATTAATATTATTAATTAACAATAAGATAAGTATAACTAACAATTTTCAACCAAATTAGCAAAGTAAAACGACTTAGTCTATTATATTAAGCCCAAGGTGCCTTATCATTTATAAAATCTTTAACTGTATAGTAACCTTTCTAAAGGAGACAAGTTTTTATACGCACTTTAAACTTAAAACTTGTAAGCCATTTCTGGCCACTTTTTGTTGTGAATAGATCTGTAAAACCTTTGTTACCTTTGTGTCTCAAGTACATTTCCACTTATTGCGTTTGCTTCCGCGCAGAATCGAAGCCTGTCCCGTACTGATCGACCGCGCGTTCCTCGCTCGTCGTCTCGCGAGGCCCGCATTACTCCATCTACAGCGAAAGACGGGTAACAATTGAATCACTTATTATGTTTATATTACATATTTATTTTTAAGCGTTTATCTGCTAGATGTTGAAAACTAAAAAAAAGTACTAGAAATAATTGCACGTGGACCAGGCAGCAGACGGGACTCGAACCCGCACCCTTCGCTATCCGGGCGAACGCACTGACCATTATGCTACCGCGGCCCTGGTGGCCGTGTCGAATTCTCTCTAGCCTTTCTTAAGCTGCAAGGCAGCGGCAACTCTTCGCATTGTAGGTAACCCACAATGTCAAGTGAATGCCTTTACAAGAAGTATTAAACATTTAAAAGAAAAAATAGCAAAATTATAACTGCTCGATGTTTCAATCTGAAGAAATTCTGAATTACTAGAAAAATATAATTTTCTATATAAAAATTATAAGAGTGTAAAGTTTTCCTAAACTCTTAATATAAGGTGAGCTTAATTGCACAGGCAGGAGAAGTGTTCTCCCCCAGTAAGCGGTGGAGGGGACGCCCCCCCGTCGGTGGAGAGTCCGCACGAGAGATGGCGAGACTCCTTGCGTAGAAATCACAAGGTAATATTATTATTATTAAACACGTTTATTACCTTGATGGGTAACAAGCTTTCTAACCACCTTACAGTGACAAAAACGGACGAACATCTTAGCATTCGTCGTTAGTGAAATAAAACATGACAACAAGATTCCTCTACGATCATCAGCCCCCCTAGCAGAACCATCAAAACAAAATATTATTATGACAAAGTGATTTATGGACATTGACTGTCAAAGTAATGAAATCAAATCGTTTTTATTTGCAGAATATAAAACAATGAAGTTTGATAGTTGAGTGTCGATAAAGAGCTTTATCGTAATATATGGTATAATCCAATCCCGGAAGCCCAAGCACGAACTTTCGACAGCTCCCTAATCGTATCGTCATCATGAAAATTTGTATACAGGTGTAAAAAAAAAACCTATGACAAAGACTCAAACTACGCATTCTGTACACCCAAACAAGTAATATTACGAAATATTATACGTGGGAAAAAAATATATTTTTAAGTTAAAAAAAATACATTTTTTTCAGTACGCAATGTATGGCGCGGCGCGCTACTGTGGCGCTACGCAAAGAATGCACCTGTGTGTATGTGTGTGCGTGTGTGTAAGTGCGTCGATAAAAAAGTTTCTAAATAACGTTTTGAAAATATGAATGTATAAATCTTGAAAAGAATATTTTGTCTTTGACCTTCAATATCTCCATAACCATAAATATCCCAGGTATGGTCCAGAAGAAAAAAATGATCGTCATGATGTGGAAAATACGTGGCCTTCGACTTCGTTATAGGTTTTTTACACCCTGTATAAGGAGCCAGTTTGTGTTTACGTCCAGTACGCTGTTAGTTTTCATAGAAACTCTCTCAATAGGTTAGCTGACTCATGTCGAATTGTATTAAATAAATGTTTATTTCTTAAAGTATTTGGTCTAAGGAACCTAAATATATCGATTTCACTTCATAAAAGCAGAAGATTGCTCTAGAAATTTAATTTAAAAGAATAATTTTTAGTCTATACTTTTTAAACACTAAAAACGCTGTTCGCCACATCCGCCATGGTTGTGACGTCTCTTTTAGTAAACAACTAAATGTCATTCATACAAAACTTTAAAACTTGTATTATTAAAACTGATAATAAATGAAGAGACAAAATATTATTCAATGAGTACTAACATCAAAGTGATCTTCGCAAAAATAAATTTTACTATGCGTCGATAAAGTTGCAGGATCACTTTTAGAAAGTTCTAACCAGGTATTGCGTAGGTTAATTTCTTTCGGCACTTTATCCACAACTTTCCTGGAGTCTTCAAGGACGTGTTTTTACATTCTCGTACAATACAATAATGATAATTACTATATTTTTCGTGGTATCTATTAGAAATCATGTTTTTTTGTTATTATAAATTCAGATAGGTTATTTTCTACGTGCTTACGAGTTTTTGACAATTTTTGTTTACTACCGTCGACGTCATAGCATAGATAATCTATAGACTAAAATGGCCGACAGCGTTTTTGTATATCCATGAAAAGTCTATTTTAAAATTGAAGATTTGTAGCTTTCTAGGTCTCAAAAAAATACAATACATATTTTTTCGGTCTAATAGAACAATTGACCATTTAAAACCTTTTTCCAAAAAGGGTCAACTAGCCTATTTCAATAAACATCTGCCTCTGTATCGTAATGTTTATTGCAGGTGCATAGTGCTCAACACAAACCGAGTCCTTCGGCATCTCCTTCGGGCGCGAGGTATGTTATCTCCTTAGATTAAAACAAAAAGGGACGATACGGTACGCTCATACTAGCATCAAATAAAATATGATCCGAATCAAGTACCTAAGTAACTCTCACACAAGCACACGTCTGTATATAAACATTCAATCGAGCGAGCGAGACAGAACTGTACCTTTAGCATGAACCAACATCGAATTCGTAACGTTTGCGAGTCCGAAATGTCATTGTAAAATGTGTACTGATTTTTAGTTCTCATTACGTACTTTGTGCCGCTGCTCTTCAAGTTTCCATACAAAATTTGACATTGACGTTTCAGTTTGCAAACTATTCGAATTCGATAATGGTTCGTGCTAGGGGTACTATACGCTTCATCGCAGCGCGAGCGAAACGGCGAGTCCGCTTCCGAGTCCGTACTGAGCTGCATTGTTGTCCTTTTCTTCATAACAATATGGCGATTACGTAAATAACATTCACGACAAACCGTGATTTTTGAGAAAAAAAATGATTTTGAGTGCACGTGCAGCGTGTTTGAATGTCCAATCGTGACTAATGCAAATTGTGGTCATGCACCACAATTTAAGCGGATCACTTTTGGGCCGCGAGTGCCGTATCTTCCCTTTTTGTTTTAATTTAAGGTTATCACCAATCGCAATGAGTATTTAGTTTAATTAATAATATTAATGTTATTAATGTTCAATATTTGCATGCTATTGTAAATGGCAGAATGGGCTGAACTTTATATTTGTAACATCTCCAGTGTACCCCTATTCTAATGCAAATAAATAAATTCTAATTCTTAGAAATGTTTCACACATTCAAATTCAGATCAGATTTTCAAATTCAGTAATTTATGTGTTGTCTACGTATATTAGTTTAGACTAGCAAACCAGTGAACCAACAGTTCACCAAAACCTGATTTCTCGAAAACCGGAAGTGCTACGTTACTCAAATCCGGTTTGTAGTCTTATCAGACTATTCTTAACTTATAACTTTAATATTCTCTTTATCTATCTCTTACGGTTTGGCCGCTGAAACAGCACCACAGACAGACGGACGGACTTGTCTAATAGATAAGAGATTATTTTCTTGTCTTTTAATTTTCCATTTTTATATTAAGGGTTTATTTTTATCAATCCTACTTCCTACTGTGTGTTTATATGATTGTTACCCTATAGACAAAAACTGCTGAATGGATTTGGATGAAATTTGGCACGCATATGGTTTATGGCTTGGATTGACACATATGATACTTTTTTCCCTACACCAGTGTTTGGTTTCTGAAGGATTAAAAAAAACTAAAGTTGACGTTGATGAAGTCTCGGGCGGTCGCTAGTTCCTCATAAAGTTTCAGATAGTAATCTGCCATGTTTGTTTGATTGTATTGTATTGCCGACCTCCGTGGCTGAGTGGTTTGTACGCCGGGTTTCAAGGGGTCGCCTACTCCAGAGGTCCCGGGTTCGAATTCCGGTGGGGGCAGATGTTTGTGTGATGAATACAATCATTTGTACTCCAGTAATGGATGTTTTATATATATAAACTTATATATGTATCAGTATCTCGAGGAGCTCGATGGCGCAAGTGGTTAGCGCGTTCGGCTGCGATCGTTGAACTTAAGCAACTTTCGCAGTGGTCGGTCATTGGATGGGTGATCAAAAATTACTATCTCGAGCTCCTCCGTGCTTCGGAAGGCACGTTAAGCCGTTGGTCCCGGCTGCATCTGCAGTCGTTAGCGCCCACCAATCCGCACTGGGCCCGCGTGGTGGGTCATGGCCCAATCTCCCTATTCCATCCATAGGGAAGGCCTGTGCCCCAGCAGTGGGGACATTAATAGGCTGATGATTATGATGATGTATCAGTATATGTATTCTATCCGTTATCCTAGTATCCCATAACAAAAGCCTATATGTGAGTGTTGGAAATATTTATTTGTTTATTTATTTGTTCGCCAAACTTGTTAATTTAGTTCGAATGAATTACAGTTGGGGCGGGGCCAATACGGGCGCGGCGCCGGGCGGAGTGTCTCGCCTAAGGCTGGTGTTTGGGGCCGCGCCACAGGTAATATATCAATTTAAAGAAAATATAACTAGAAAAAATTCCACGCAGACCAGGCAGCAGACGGGACTCGAACCCGCACCCTTCGCAATCCGGGCGAATGCACTAACCAATTATGCTACCGCGGCCTTCACGGACCGCGTCGAAATTCTTCTAGCCATTCTTAAGCTGCAAGGCAGCGCCATCTCTTCGCATTATAGATAACCCACAATGTCAAATGAATACTTTTACAAGTATTAAACATTTGAAAGAAGAAATAGCAATTATGGTTATAATTTTATTATAATATAGCGCTAGCATAATTGGTCAGTGCATTCGCCCTGATTGCGAAGGGTGCGGGTTCGAGTCCCGTCTGCTGCCTGGTCCGCGTTTTGTTAATGTTAAAATAAAGGTTAGACAAAATGATGTAGCATTGATAAGCCTTACACAATTTTCACAAGTACAATCAAACACAATATACTTTATCCAATCCACTCACGAGGCCGTAGAATAATTTAAAACATAATAACAACAGAAGTATAATACTAATCATAAAGCCATACCCACAGAGAAAATGATGATAATTTCAATTAAGTTTTATTATTTAAAAAATTACTGTTCACAATGTTTTTGAAGTTGTTTTGTCTCGCCAGATATCCCTTATATCACTCCTATACAGGCCGTCCCACGGCCATGACTACCAACTTATTTTCTACCAAATATAGTATTTCCGAAGCTGTTACCTCTAAAAATATAGTAGATGGCAAAAAAACGAAAAACCTATCATAAACAGCTTAATTAGCATTCGCTCTTTCCTGAGCTATGCAAGTTTTTGCTTGTCTCTTAGCTTCTTTATATTTATCCTTGTCATCATCAGTTTGTGAACTTTGCCAAGCTTTGAATTGGCTTTTCTTGGTAAGTAAAGCCTGCTTTAATTTGTCATTCCACCATTTGGGATCTTTTCCGGAACGAAGAAGCCCTTTAGAAACGCCCAATATTTCTGCAGCTTTCGTTCTACAATAGTCTTCAAACTTGGATCATATAATTTCAGCTTAGATGTACTCTGTGTCCAAATCAGCCTCGAGGTAACTCTTAATATCGCCTGACTAAATATGAAAGAAATAAAAAGTATTTTTTGGCCATATACGCAAAAGCATATGTAGAAAAAAGAAAAAACAATGAGCAAAAAATAATAAAATAAAATAGAGAAATACAAAAGAGAAAGAAGAATGGCCAATCAGGACCCTGCCTCAGCTTAATGCTGTTATCGACTAAATATGAAATCATTTTATTTTTAATAATAAGTAGAACTGTATTCACAGAATTTTTAAAAGTCGCTACCTCTCCCTGACTCATTATTAATACCGAGGACACAACTGACGATGAGTCGAGTTTGTATGAAGAATCTGATACGTCTGAATAAATTAAATATAAACTAAGAAGATATTTATATAATGAACATTATATAATGTAAATATTGTAATTACTTGGTTTCTACTTTACAATTTGGTTGTACTCATTTATTTCTACCGATTATGTGTAATCTGTGGCACAATCTTAGTAATCATTATGTGTGGCACATCTCTAAGTGGGTGGTACCCGTCCATGAAGTACAATATTGTATGACATTTTAACGTAAACAATACAAATTTTCATGGGCGTCGATCTCTCAAAACGATAATAATAAAATGGACATACTATACACTTACCAAATATCCACCCTTGTTAAATACTAGATAAACACGCAAATTTCGTTATTAATGGTCGAAGGTATTCTTTCATTTGAATTTTGTGTTAAAGTTGATGGTTTTACAATAGAAATAGAATACAAATAACATACTTGTGGTCTCTGAGAGCCACTTAGCCTAGCTACCTATATGTATTTCCAGCCTTACCCATGTTAAGCACTTCCAAAAGTCAAGTTTTATATTTAGAGATTTATTGTTATATTTATATAATGGCGACCTCCGCGCTCGAGTGGTATTTAAATCGGATTTTAAGTTATCGCATATTCGAGAGATCCTGGGTTCGAATCCCGGTGAGGGCAAATGTTAGTATGATGAATACGAGCATTTGTTTCTTAGTCATGGATGTATATATTTATTTATAAATAAAATATCTTTACGTATGTATCAGTATTATGTATTCTATCCGATACCCTAGCATCCCATGAAACAAGCTTAACAGTACCTACTTACTTTGGGGCTAGGCTGATTGGTGTGTGTGGGAAATTTTTATTTACTTTTCATTTTCTATTCGCAGTACCCGCACTTGCAGTGCCCCCCCACGTTCCAGCCGGAGAGCTACTCGCTGGCCCGCCTCGCTCCCACGCGCGCGCCGCCCGCGCCCCCCTCCTAGCCCCCGCCGGGCCCCCTCCCCGCCCCTAGCACACGCAGTGCCCCCCCCCACGCTCCAGCCGGAGAGCTACTCGCTGGCCCGCCTCGCTCCCACGCGCGCGCCGCCCGCGCCCCCCTCCTAGCCCCCGCCGGGCCCCCTCCCCGCCCCTAGCACACGCAGTGCCCCCCCCCACGCTCCAGCCGGAGAGCTACTCGCTGGCCCGCCTCGCTCCCACGCGCGCGCCGCCCGCGCCCCCCTCCTAGCCCCCGCCGGGCCCCCTCCCCGCCCCTAGCACACGCAGTGCCCCCCCCCCACGCTCCAGCCGGAGAGCTACTCGCTGGCCCGCCTCGCTCCCACGCGCGCGCCGCCCGCGCCCCCCTCCTAGCCCCCGCCGGGCCCCCTCCCCGCCCCTAGCACACGCAGTGCCCCCCCCCCACGCTCCAGCCGGAGAGCTACTCGCTGGCCCGCCTCGCTCCCACGCGCGCGCCGCCCGCGCCCCCCTCCTAGCCCCCGCCGGGCCCCCTCCCCGCCCCTAGCACACGCAGTGCCCCCCCCCACGCTCCAGCCGGAGAGCTACTCGCTGGCCCGCCTCGCTCCCACGCGCGCGCCGCCCGCGCCCCCCTCCTAGCCCCCGCCGGGCCCCCTCCCCGCCCCTAGCACACGCAGTGCCCCCCCCCCACGCTCCAGCCGGAGAGCTACTCGCTCCGGATAGAAGACGACCATTCGACGCGTCTTACCAGAGACGGAAGGTTTTTTACTAGAAGAGCTGAGCAGCGACTGTTGGCAATGTTTATTTATATTTACTATCTGTCAACTTGACAACAGTCTCTCCTTTTTATTCCAACTAAATTATGATAAGGACGATCTGCTGTCAAAATAAGAGATTTGAAATAAATTTGTATAACCATGTGAAACATCATAAAACACGACCCTAACACTAACGATAGTCACAATGTAGTAGTCTGTTTAATGATTGAGGTAGACTTGATTGACTTCCAAAACACTTTGAATTGGATCTGTACTGTTATGAATAAAATAGATAAATAACTAGAAAATATCATAAAGGAATTTATAATTAATCACATGTCCGTCACTAATCAAGTAGGGGAACCACTAAGATGAAGGCGTGGGAGCCTCCCGCTCCCCTGCCCCTCGCATGACGTCACGAAGGTGCTTACGCAGCTGACGTCGCTAACTGTACTTAAAATCGGTTCATGTAGAAAAATTACACTTGAAATAGTGTAAATAAAGCTTATGGCGAATTTGGAAATATAAATATTAAGTTAATCTGTGAATCAACTTCGATTTGATAAAAGCTCTAGACCTTTCATCGACTCTACCTTAATCATTATACTCTATTCAGCTTACTCTGAGACAAAAGGTTTTTCAACAGATCTTATTTTATACACATTTAAAAAATAATACATTAAAAAACCTATCTATTCCCAAACTTTGAACTCATTATAATATAATACTACAAAATTTGAGAGCAGTGACAAAGCATACAATTTTATACGTTTTGTAATCAGTCTGATTACACCGGCCATCTTGACTCTCGATAAGGTTTGTAAAACATCGGTTTAAGTTTAATTATTTTGTCGGAGAAGAAGTTGAATAGAGCAGATTATTCTGACACTGCTCTTATAATTAAACGCTATTATTATCTGACAATACATAAAAAGCTGCGCAACATAGACTTTTGATATTATTGATATCTACTACGTTGTTCGTGGCTGTATATTAAAAAAAAAGCAATGTATATATATATATATATATCATTGTGAAACCGTATGATGCATTATAGAAAGTTAACGTAACATATCTTTTTATATGCGTAATGATATTCAACAACTAGGAACTGACAAAAGGTCTTATGAGTAATAGAACAATGTGATTGAGTGAGAGAGAACGGTTGACTGATTTCAAATGTTTGAATTCAACAAGTTTTTCGTGTAATTGTGAATCGCTTTAAATTTTTCGGGTTTTACTGATATCGGATAAGGCTAATAAAAACATATAGAGGTAATGTGTTATCTTTTTTAAAGCAAAATCTGTAAAATAGTAGCTTATTCTTTGTCATAAACTTTTGACCAGGTTACTGTTAAAACAGTTACTATTTATTGATAATAGTCCATTGAAACAAATTTTGATATATTGTTGATCATCTAAGAAATTAAATAGTTATAATATGATGTTTTATTCCTTATTTTAATGGAGTATTTGACAGGATGAAAAATAAAGTACCAATTGTTGGCATGTAAATTTAATATGATTATAAGCTTTAAACCTTCTAAAAAAACATTAAACAGAAATGATGTTCTGTGGTCACGTGACCGAAAACGCCTGGTATTGGCTAAGACCAAAATGACGTCACACGCTAGAAAAAAGTGACATTGCATTGTATCGTTTGACGTTTTAATGACATTCGTTTGTCGTCATATGCTAGTGAGAGATCATAATGTCCAGAGAAACGTTTTCGTGGCACCTTGAAAATTTAACTTTTGATTGTTTTCATTTTTTACTGAAAATACTCGACAAAATGATGAATATCCACTATTTATTGACTACGTTAACATTAGTAAATAACGTGAGATCGTTTTCTAAAACCTGTCAAATACCCCATTCTGTACTTTGTGAAATAATTTACCTAAACATCACTGCTCAATGCCTAATAAACATATTTATTGTTTTCAATAATAAAACTAAGGTAGCAAAAAAACTTGCTATAATTACAATTATTTTTAAACCTTTAAAAGGTACTGATCTTCATAAACACATGTTGTACAACTAGCGGTGCTTAAGTAACTTAATGCTCAGTAATTCAGCACAAATTGTATTATTTATTTCTAGTACAATTCGTAGCACTTTTAGTTGCTAATGTGTTAAATTATGGTGCTGCATTTCATGTCCTAATATTTATAATTAGATACTTTATAGAATGCGTGCTAAAAGTACTACATATTTGCTTTAACGATGTATACGTAATATGTAAAAATTAGAAATTTTTAGCTATTTTTTGAAACGCGATACACGTAATTGTATTTTAGACATACATAGATAGATAAAATAAAAATTACTTTGGAACAATAAATTGAATTGTAATATGTATTTTAAAAGAATTATATTTAAATATTACATGCGTTCACAAATTATGCTCAGTAGTATGTTGCAAAATATAGTTTTTTTATTACTCTTGATAAAATGTTGAAATCAAAGCTAAAAGTTACTACATATAATGCGCTAATAAACTTGTAATTTTATATTAATTACGCATTTTATGTAAACAAAAATAGAAGAAATCGTAATAACTTTACCATTCATAGGGGTAATTTCATTTAAGTTGGCATACATTACGATGATAAATCGTGTGAGTTCTAATTTCATCGTAGGAGAATACTTTATTAATGAACTCGAGTGAGTACGGCACCCGTAGCACGAACCAATATCGAATTTGAAAAGGTGGTCGAGTCGGTGGTAATATGGGACCGGGACCGCGGTAATTCATAATTATTTTTGAGGCGGCAATTGGGATCGAAGCTGGTGGTCCCGAATGACACCTCTGTTTAATAATTATTTTGAGTGGTAAGTTGAAACTAAAAATAAAGAGAAAAGTGTTTGATCAAGTCGATCACAATACGCGTCGATATTGGTTCGATTCTTATTCGATATTGGTTCGAGATAAGGGTACAGAGGAAATAAGTCCTAAAAGTGTAGACAGCACATCACAATGCCTATTTTTCAATTCTTTTAGGTTTATGCCTTATAAGTCTTTGACGGTGCAAATATTTTCAAAACAGGTGTTTTACATGACTGAATACCAAACCTATGACGTCCAATACTACAAGTAGATAGATAAAATTTTTAATCAATAACTAAATAAAAACCAACGCTAAATGTATAAAAAATAGTTTTCGGTCGTTTCCAACAAATATCCTTCTCTGACTCATCATAGTCTCATTACTAATCGTCGTATTTATAAACAATTAAAACTTTTTTCTGCCTCTCTTAAACGTTAATTATATCTTGATAGCATTCGCGAAAGGGACATTCTTACGTCGTCATTTGCGTTTCGTTTTTATATTGGTCCGAGTTATGACCAAGTAATAGTCACTATTTTTGTTGTTAAAAACCCATTTTTTAGTGAAGAATTCTAGTGTCAAAAAGTGATTTCTTTACTAAGCAACAAGTTATTACTTGTTTAATAAAAATACGACAGTAAGAGAACATCGTTTTTGCTTCAACAATAACATGTATATTTTTAGTTTTATTAAACGTTAAGGTAACTGGAAATAAGTCGTTGAGTATGGCCGCTAGAGGGATCCATTTTATCTGATCCTGTCAGGTAGCGTAGTCTACCCTATGTATTCTTTGGATATGCTTTGGGACTAAGAGCCGTTACGCACTGTCGACAGGTCGCCGGCGACCAAAACATAGGCAACTAGGGCCGGAGACCAAGTCGAGCTACAGTATTCCAAGTACATTCGATTTCCACGTCCAGTCGTTACGGCTTGTATACCGGTTAATTTTCAAACCTAAATCAGTCAAGTACATTAGGAGCGTTTTATTTAGGTTTGGCTGTACCTTACCCTTAAAAAAACCGGTTTTCCTAAAGAGCGAAACAAATAGGTTTTGAATCAATTTAGCGGTTTTTAAAGGGTTTCGTTTCGATCTTTCTGACGGCATCGATAATAAATGAATAACTTGACTCACTAGACGGTAGCAAACGTGTCAATAAATGTATTAATCTTTGAGCATTAACAAGTTGTGACTTGATTAGTTCAAACAAAACAAACTTCAAGCGATACCAACGCGTGCACGTGTCGCTCTGGACTAAACCGGTTTATTAAGGTTTTAGGTACCGCTTTCATTTCGGACGCGCTCCGAACGAAACCTTTACTAAAAACCAGTATTAACCTTTATTTACCGGTATTTTCGAAACCGGTTTCAAGCCCTGGTTACGACAGTCGCTCGCAGTGTAAATGCTTCCATTTGAAGCCGTGCTCCTATTGGTCGCCGACCGGCAGTCGTTGTGTGTCGCCACTACGCGGCGAGTCGTCGAGTAACCCGGGCGACCGACGACCAAGTGCGTAAACACCTATTTAAAACTATAGTAAGTGATAGTCGCCATCGACCGAGTCGCCGGCGACCAGTCGACTGTGCGTAATGACTTTAAAGTCTCGTTGTTTGATACATATTTTAATGTGGCTATTAGTCAATGAAACGTCAAATGCATAGTAGAATTTGTCAAAAATTGACCAATGGTTACTTTTACAAAGTTATTTTAACTGTAGTCACATTTAACTATGTTATATTAACTATATTATGTTAGAAAGAAAGAAAAAGTATTTATTGGCCATACACGCAAATACATAATATGTAGAAAAGAGAAAAAAACAATGAGCTAAAAAACAATAAAATTAAACAAAACAGAGAAATACAAAAGAGAAAGAAGAATGTCGGAAATAACGGGCTCTTAGTTTAAGCTTATTAAAAATAATAATTGCTTACGTATCTGTAAACCAGTACAGAAACGACAATAAATAAAAAAAAAACTTAAATTTATATGACGCTATATGTATGTATGTTAGTCTTATCGGAATGTATATTACATTCTACTTTACAATGTAATTCTACATGTACAATTGTACAGTTGTAATAATGTTAGGATTAAAAATAATTGTAATAGATTTCAAGTGACGTCAACGGAAGCTTTAAATTAATGGAGATCATCTTATCTAAAACTGAACGTCCCACCACACTTTAGTGTTACTTTTATCAGCGACCAAAGGGTGCTGCCAAGTTCGTGTCTGGCCGGCGACTGGATCAACTGAATGACCAATGACTATAGCCAATTTGAGTGTGTGGCATCTGTACACTGATTGTGCATGTAAGAATAAATCAGATAGGGGCGGGCGTTCAGTTTTAGATTCGACGATCTCTACCCGGAATGCTTGGATTTTTACCAAAAGTTTAATATTCCATTAGCTGTGTTATGTAGGTGTAAAATTATCATTACGTAGGTATACTTAATAAAAGTTATAAAATAAAAAGATAATGCTCAATTGTTTTTAAAGTACTGGCTGTGGAGCTCAAATCAATAGCAGTACTAATCACACACCAGCCTTATTATTGTAGAGGTAATCGATGCGCAACTTTGAAACTTGTCCATATGGGAATAAGGTTCAAGACCTAAATGTTAACTTATACCGAAAAATTACCGATTGAAACTTGGTAAACCTTTGTGTGAATTATTAATTAACTTCGTTTTTGGTCTTTCTTTCATATTCGTGTAATGCTCCAAGAATAGTGACGCCTTTTCTATTTTTTTTTTCTATATGGCTTCGCACGGTTTGTGTATTTAGCCAATGTCAAGTGTAAAATGTTTACATATTCTATAGCACTCGTGGTCAAAATATTAGTCAAGTCAAAGTAAGTGGCAGTCAAGTCTATCCCCCTTTCCCTATGTTTCAGTAAATGTGTGGGGATTTACTGGAACCTCCCCGTGGACTTCTTGAGAGAACGTCGAAAGACACTTTCCGCTATTTTGTTTCACTTGCCAACACTTGTGCATGTTTCCGAACACTTAGTGGTTAATAATCCACCATTATTAGACACTAACATCCGCCACTACACAATTTTTAACAAGAAAAACATAACTGCTATAGTGACGCTTCCCGATCCCGCCAAAAAGTCCCAGTGACGCCTTAGTCTGTACAAAGCTTAAAACTGTGCATAGATGTCATTCCTTTTAGAATTCAATTAAGTTATTGTTTAAATTTCAAGAGGTGATTGTGCTTATTTTAACCTGTTTAACAAATAGTTATTTTGCAATCAAGAGGCTAATAAAAATAACAGTTTGTATCTACTTTTTATTTAACAAGTTTCAAATAATTTAAGTTTGCTGAATTAATTTATCAATTTAAATAGGATGAAAGTTACCCTTTCGTTGTAATTAATCCTATAATTTTAAATTAAACTTAATGGTTACTTAACTCATTTTAAATAGCTAAAAGTGAAAAATTAATCCATCAGCTACCATTTACATACCGGGGTATTAAAATGAAAAATATTCTTCATTCATGAAAATATACAATTATGGAAAAAAAACCAAATGATGTTTTTTTTAAGGGCCTATCGCGAATATCTACTTGACAATTGTTACTGAACACGTTTGGCAATCGATTAAGTAGTTATTTGTGTGAATTGGCAATGTTTTGGCAATAATATATGAAACAATAAATATTGTATTATCTTGTTTAAGAATAGCAAAGTTACTAATGGAATTGATTATAATTATAGTAAAATCTTGTATTAGGTACCTATTTAAGTTATATTTTTATTTTAACAATGGCAATATTTAAATAATCCTCAAAAATTATAAATGATGAACCCATTGTTTTTTTTTATTTGAGAATTAATTACTATTTTTGATGGTCATTTAAATATGTGCCTTTAAACAATAACGAAAAATTATGTAACACAATTATTTAAGTACTTTATAAAAGGCAACAGCGCAAAGAGTTATAAAAAAATATATAAGTTGTACCCTAATATTATTCTCAAATGAAAATAATTTGCAGAGTAAAATAACATGATGTGCTGTTCATTGTTTTACTTTTACTGGTATTTATATTATAATTGTATATTCACACGAGCACGGACTTCCAAATGTATATTGGATGAAAATAAAATATCTTTTACATAATTTTTTCTTTTCATTACATAGCATTTTAGACCAATTGAGGAGCTGGCCAACAAAACGGTATCTTATAAAATTCTCGTGTCATAATGTTAGTTACCATACTCCTCCGAAACGGCCTGGCCGATTTTTATGAAATTTTATATGCATATTCCGTGGGTCTGAGAAACGGCTACTATCTATTTTTCATATCCTTAGGTGATAATGGTTGTCCACCTGTAAGGTAGTGTTCTGGAACCTACAATGCGCCTTCGCGCCAACTGTTGGGTATTGTAACGTAGTGTTCTCATATGGGTAAGGAGGAATGTTATTCCAGGAAATTGGTATAACACTACGTTACCGCCCCTAAAATTATTTTTGGGCTATATTTTTGAAGTTATACTTCTTTAGGCGCGTTATGAAAAAATGATGAGAGTGAAATTTTAAGATGCGCGCGCATCACTGTAACACAAAATTTTAACATAATGAAGTTGGTTTAGCGACCAACTTCATGCGTTACTTTTGTGTTTACCGCACATTAAGAAAATCTACCAACAAAATAGAAATAGAATCTCTATTTAGTGGGTGCTAACGACTGCATTGTGAAGGCCTATCAAAAGTATTTATTAATCTGGAACAACGGAACCAAAGCGCGATTCAGGAGACTACAGCGCCATCTCTTGACCATTGGTGTAGTAGAACCAAAAACCACATCTTTATTTTTCAATGTTACTTTTATGTTATTATTGTAATAAAGTAACAGTTATAGGTATTCATATTTATAATATTTATCCACATGTTTCTAGTTTGTATATTCGGAATACGTGTTTGAGTTTCATACAAGTGCAAATCACATATGTTCTAATAAATTATATTCAGTAGCGATTTTAATTGAATATATTGATTATTTATTTATTTTTTCAAATTACACTGAACTTTATTGACTTCGTCCTTTTCCAGACTTTTTATTAATTTATTGTAATTAATTATTTGCATGCAATTAAAAACTAATTTTAAACGATGCCAAAGAAGGATAACTTCTCACGCGCCTACATAAGTACACGCACCCATTTTTTTTTATATTATGTTGTATTCAAAAATACATACAGCCCTAAATTTTCTGTTCTACCATCTGCCCCTATTTTTATGGCGGTACGAAGTTCGCGGGGTCAGCTAGTAATTACATAAAATTTAATTTTACAAGAGCTGTATAAAACTGAATGACATACCTCCAGTGAGATTCAAATTCAACAGGCTCGAAACCTCCGGACTGTAAAAAAAAGGGAGTTTGACCATTCCCCAGCTCCTCAATTCACAGAATGTTAAGCCTTACATTAAAACAAAAAGGGTAGATACTGTACGCTCTTACTTGCATCAAACAAAAACTGATCCCACGGCAGCGCGAACGGGACGGCGAGATCCGCATTACTGCATTACCGACCCGAACGAAACAGCACGTTAAGTTTCAACGGCAGCGCGAACGAGACGGTGAGATCCGCGTCACTGCACTACCGACCAATCACGCGACCAGTACTCGACGTCACTACCGAATAAGATTCAAAACAAACAGCAAACATTTTTATGAAAAAATATATTTTATAGTACTTACGAATGATGGCTGTGGGTATTATTTTTAGTTCTTGAGCAATTTGAGCACTTTTAAAAACACACTTAGGCATTGTTTTATCATATAAACACAAAATATTAGCAATATTTCTTTTCGGCGTTCACATGTACGTCGTTTGCATGTCAAGTTGTGACTAAAGCGATTAGGGTCGTGGACCACAATTCATGCGGATCACTTTTGTGAGGCTAGTGCCGTATCTACCCTTTTTGTTTTAATCTAAGGTTAAAGCTAATTTAGTCTCTCATAGTTGCATCTTATGCAATGTTTTAGTGATGGGCATTATTACGTTAAGTCTTGGCCACAGAATACAGAAAGAAAACACAGTGCCACAGTCATGAAAAGTCCGCCTTCGGAATCGGGTCACGTCTTTTGGGGCAGCCGACGCAACCCTTGTTAGGCCTTTACTTTTAGGGTTCCTTAGAAAGGTACTAAAGAGATCTTTTAATAAGCCAACACTTTATGTTCGTTGCTCCGTCTGTCCGTTTGCTAGTAAACAGTATTTGCTTCGATAGTTATATCACAGAACACAGAATCTCTTAAATAAAACTATTTGTTACTTAGGTTTTCACGCACATCACTCATTAAATAAAACTAGTTTTTACGGGTTAATGCACGAAACTTTATTTATTTATTGACGTTTCGCAGCCTTTTCAGGTCTGCATCGTCAGAATAATGATTTTTTATTTAAAATTGTCGAGCTACCTTCGAAAGACTTATATTGAGCGTTCGGTTATTTCATTGGAAGATTTTTAAAATTTTATTGTCTATGTATGAATTTATTATTTAATTTACTTAATATAGTATTTTATTTAAAATTCTTGTTTGTAATTTTCAGTTTATTTATTTATTTGACCCTAACTACCGTAAACTACCACCGGTTCCAAAATTGGGAGACCTTCCTGAGAAGAACCGGCGAAACAAACTCAAGAGAGGCTTTCTATCTCCTTCTTATGTTAAATTATGCAAACAAAAAGAACTAATAGTATCTAATGGTCTTGCAGTGTGTGCTCGAATCACAGAATCTCTTTCTGCACCTGATGTATGTTCTCGCACCCTCCGCTATTCGGGCGGATGCACTGACCATTATGCTATCGCAGCAGTAACTGTCCGTGTAGATTTTTTTCTAGTATTTCTTAAGCTGCAAGGCAGAGCCATTGTAAGTAACCCACAATGTGAAATGAATACCTTTTACAAGTATTAAACATTTGAAAGAAGAAACAGCAATAATAGTTATATTTTTTAAGCATCTAACAACTATCATCTAACTAATAGATGTTATATCTAGTAGTAATTTTCTTTAGATGTGAGCAAATGCTCAAACTTGACAAAAACTTGGCTCTGATTGCGTCGGTGCTCTCGGCTGTGAGAGCTGATTGGTTCATTGTTTGATGTCCTTGATTTGCTATCATCTTCTAGGTGGAAGTGTAGTGGGGCCGACCCAGTGACATCGGTTCCCGTACAAACGGTCCATGATCACCCTTCTAACCTATTTCTGTGTTCCGTGGTCTTGGCCTATAATACCATCTACATTTATCACGTTCCCTTCTTGTAATCCGGGATCCTTTAAAAGAGGCGTGAAGAAGCAATTTGCAGGCCGGCAAGGTGAATGTCTGGTGTGGCAGGTAGAACTGCCGCACCAGCTAACTTCGCGTCTGGACTCCACCTCACTTAACACCAGGTGAGATAGAGGGTGAATGTCTGGTGTGGCAGGTAGAACTGCTGCACCAGCTAACTTCGCGTCTGGACTCCACCTCACTTAACATCAGGTGAGATAGAGTCATCTGTCGGACCTATTTATAAAGAAGGCGTATGGAGTGGCACTTTTCTGCCGCATCAACTATCTCCAGTACTGAATTCCACTTCATTAGGTGGAGTGTAATTTGCTGTCATCATCATCATCATCAGCCTATTAATGTCCCCACTGCTGGGGCACAGGCCTTCCCTATGGATGGAATAGGGAGATTGGGCCATGACCCACCACGCGGGCCCAGTGCGGATTGGTGGGTGCTAACGACTGCAAATGCGGCCGGGACCAACGGCTTAACGTGCCTTCCGAAGCACGGAGGAGCTCGAGATAGTAAATTTTTGGTCACCCATCCAATGACCGACCACTGCGAAAGTTGCTTAACTTCAACGATCGCAGCCGAACGCGCTAGCCACCTGCGCCATCGAATTTGCTGTACCAGTGACTAAGTATATGCATTAGGGTCGGTACATATATAACGGAAAATGCGTCGAGCGTATCATCGTTCGTATCATCATCAGGTGCGAAAGGTTGAATGTTTTATTGTATACTTGCTGACTCTGGCGTTACGCGACTGATAATAATATGCGACGTATTTTCTGTCAGGTATGTACTGATCCTGAATTATGGTCTTGTAAAGGCTAGAGCCCATGGATGGACGGAGCAGGGCCCTACCTAATGCCCCGAGCAGGGCCACTAAAAACCAGACAATACCACCCTGCACGCATTATTTTCAATTCAATTCAATTCAAATTTATTTATTTCAGAACTAGGTTCCATAGTGTTAGTTACATTTGATTTACTTATAAATATGTTAGTATAATAAAGAATTACATAAAATATTACTTTTGGATATAGAGCTTCACCTAGTGTCGTAGCAGAGGAGTGTCCCACCGGTCATTAAATACTCTCAGGAGGCTGTTGGTACTAGATCGGAGCCTAGCGAGCATGGAAGCGGACCTCTTTCTAATAATGGCATAAAAGTCGTCCGTATGCGCCTCCGCAAACATTTTTGACGCGCTGCAACTCCGCGCCAGCCTCAACAGTATCCTGAAGGCGTTGTTATATTGAATACGCAGGTCGCTGTATGCCCGCTGCGTATAGTTGGTCCAAAGACTGCAAGTATATAATGATTGGCAGTAAGTCTTAAAAAGAGTGACCTTTACTGCAATTATGAGGACCGAGGTCCCTTCAATGCGTGCCGGGAGTGCGGGCGTAGTCGTTGCACCCGATTTCTAACTGGCCACGACCTACAGTTACCTAAAGTTTAACTGTAAATCCGGATGCACAAGTTGCACTAGAGAATAGCAGCTGGAATTATAACGCATTAAAGCGCTCTCGGGCTAACCTAATAATGAATTAAGCGGCAATCAGGATCTGGCTCCTTTGTGCGGGCGCGCGACGCCGACGGACAGCGTCGCTTCATTTAAATTCTCCATCGCGCACGTCCGCTAAGCTCCCATTAACACCGGACTTAAACTGAAACCTAATATTCATTGAGCGTGCTTCATGAAATATAATGTGGCTATCTGAAATTAGCAGGGAGGAGTTCCAAATACCGTCTTCTCGCTCCCCCCCCCCTGGTTGAAGGATGCGTAAGGCATTTTCCAGACAAAAAAGTAACTGCAGATATGTAATGAGTTGGTAGTGATCAAC